AAATAAGAGTTTTTTATTACAATGAAAAGATAATTACACATGGTTACTAACCTAAAATAATAGAATCAACAATTAAATGTTCATGCTCCTATTCTTCATTCAGTTGAGACTTCCAATGTTAATTAACTTGTATGAGATAATTATTATTTAACATAAAATTAATTTTATAATACATATTTGATATAATCAAATATTGATTTAATTTCTTATTGAGCTTCACTTTGTTAACTCTCTATAGTTATAGTATTCTTACTACCCAGCTGATCTTATTCGATAGGTTATTTGTATTTAAATAAGGATATACATATGAATGTATGAATGTGACGATACTCACAAATATATATTCCAAATGTCGAGTCTCTAGCTGGAATACCGTCGAAATGATATAATTTCGTACGTCCAGCCAGACGGACAAACAGGCAGGCGGACATTGCACAAAAGCAATATACGGTTTCACTTGAATTGATATGGAAACAAAGCAAAAGTTATGAATTTGTTAGTATCAGTTGTCGATTGTCCTCGACACATTTTCAATTAAATACACAGCCATTTATATGCCTATATAAATGCAGCTATGTACCTATATATGCCTATATGCAATGATTACCTCTATATATATTTATATATGTATATGTATATATTTACTGCTATGCAAACTATTTCTTTCAGTGACTGCAGTTGCCCAGCTTCACCAATAGTTATTTAGCTCATTTGCATTGAAATTTTCTTCATATTACGTATACGGCACATTGCACATAGCTACTATTTGTGTGTACATGCTTGCATGATGCTCAACCATCTCTTTAAATATGCCCCAGTACAAACACCCACAGCCATTTGCCAAGACACCCACATTCATGAAATGCTAAAGCAATTAGTTAAATAGGCAAGGCTTCTATGAAATATTACGCATACGACGCGTTCTACCTATCAAGTGTTGCCTACTTTGCAACTGTTTATTGACCAGAAGTAAACACACACACACACACACCCACACACACACACACACACACACACACAGACACGCACACACATTGCTTGATTGGTAGTTGAGTCCAGGCTCACTTTGTAGGCCAATAAAGCATCGACCTCATTCACATGTTGGGCGGTCAGGTATGCAAGCGCAAGCATGCTTGCGCAAGCCTGCCGCAAGCCATGCTTGTGCACACACAGGCAAAATAAAACGAAATATGAAGAAAAAATACAAACACTCCCAAAATAAGCGACTAGCAAATACCCTGTCCAGTTGTCGAGCCGGGCTGGCAGAGCCCCAAAAGCCACGCCGCCGCCTCGCAGTCTAGCTGAAGCTTGTAGCTTATGGATTTTAGTTGAAAAACTTGGCAAGGTTTCATATTATCTATCTAGCTGCACTTCCTTAAGCTGCAAACTAAACTCAACTTCTGCTTTATGCTCTCCAACACTCCACACACACACACACACACACTCACACAGACAGAGAATCATACATATATATGTATGTGCGATATATGGGGTAAATTCTTGTGGGTGTTGTTGGCCCTTCGCAAAATGCCTTTGAGCTGATGTATTTTATATAATGCCATAAGAATTTCAATTTTGTAAGTTGTCGCAGCGTATGTTACTTTCATAACCAGCCAGCCATCCACTTATATAAGCCAAAGACAGCTGAGCACACTTGGCGAGAAAGAGAGAGAGAGAGAGAGAGAGAGAGAGAGAGAGATAGAGAGTAGATAAAGATAGAGCTTAGCTGCTACAAATAGCTTTGATTATTAAATGGGCCGTTTACGAGGAATGACGGCGTATCAATTAGCGGCCTAGGGGGCCTCAGCTCAGCTGTGCAGGAAAGCGCGAGTGTCACTCCAGTCAACAGAGAGTAATGCGACACGCTCAGTCAAGGTGCGCGCCATGCCGACACCTGGGCTGGCAGGTGCAAAGCCCAGACAGCCAGACAGCAGACAGCAGAAAGCGTCGATTTGGGTCACTTGGCAGCTGCGACAGAGCAGAATTCATATCCGCGTTGAGCGACTCACTTCTTATTTATGCGAGTAGATTTTCGATTTGCTGAAGATGCCAACTCACTGACAGCTATAAAAAATACTTTTACTTATATATAGAGAGTTGATCCAGTAGTTATCAAGGAATGGCTGAACGTAATTATTGCTCTATTTATACCAATTGAAGCTACATTTATGAAGAATAATGTAATTTTCTTAGCAAGCATGTAAGAGACAGAGAAAATCAACTTTGATAGACAATATATTATGAGACGAACTCTGTTTTGAGGGCTATCAATCTCTTTACTCTTCATTCTCTTAATTTCTCCAACTTTCTCTATAGGTCTCTAGGTCGTTTCTACCACTATCGCTTTGTCTCTATTTGCTTTTATCTCTGTTCTAAGCTTCTCTTCGTCTATCCGTCCCTCTATAACTATACATCTCTCTCTATCTCGTTGTCTATTCTCTCTGTTTTTGTCTCTTTAGTTCTATACCTTGCTTACTCTCAATTACCTATCGCTCTCTACTTCACGCTTTGTATCTCTCTCTCTCTCTCACTCTCTCTCTCTCTCTCTCACTCTCACTCTGTCATACCTATTTGAGTTTCTTTATCCGCCCATCTCCCGATATTTTTATCTTTTCTTGTCTATCACTCTCTATCTGTCGGTGTCTTCATCTTTGTTTTCCCTGTTTACCTATCTCTCTATTTTCATATATAACTGTCGTCAACTCTACTTTTTGCCGCCTTTTTGTTTGCTCATCTCTATGAGCGTATGTTAAGGACTGTCTCTTTCTCGATATACTGTTTCTTTTTCTCTTTTTTCTCAATTTCCAGCTCTCCCTTTCTATGCTTCAATCTTTATCTCTTTATTCCTTTTTCATCTCTCTTTCTCTTTTCTCTTCTTCAAAATCTCTTTTTCCTTTAACAGTTTTCTCTCTTTGCTGCCTCTTTCTCTACGTTTCTTTTATGTAATTCTCATAGGGATTTCAAAGTACTCCATAGTTCAAATTTGAGTTTTCAATAGAAGTCTTTAGATATATAAGTATATATGTGGGCTATATATATATATGTTGTGCCATATGTATGTACACTTTGTAACATTTTCTAGTATTTTATCGTGGATAATTGTTATCATCTACTTGAAGTTCTGCAACTAAACTTTTTATAATTGCCAATTTTCGCTACAATACTTGAAGAAGGCTATTAATCATGATATCAGCCAATTATTGATTGATTAAGTTGGGCTACCTTGAGCCGAGTGAAATATGTTGTTATAACAAGTTCAAATTGACTTCAGTCGGGTCGGCTGACTCAGCTGTGGGCAAAACGTGACACATTTGCCAAGCTCTATTGAAATACCGTTAGCCGTCGTTTCTAAGGAATACTTGGCAAAGAACACAATGAGCCATTTGATTAACTGTTTGCATTGTGCTGCGGCCAGACATAAATAGAAATGAAAGACATCGACAGCCAACGCCAACGACTGCATTCCAAAGCAATTTATTAATAAACAATAATCAATAAACAATAAACAATAATCAATAAACAATAAACAATGAGCCATAATAATAGACTGCCTCAGTTTTGCTGAGCCAAATGCAAACAAAATGAGCTTCCAGCCATAAGAATATATCGCGCACACAATGATTGGCTGGATTTCATTAAGTGCATTCCGCTGAATGCGCTGCTCCATCGCTAAGAAACATTCATTAAAATGCAACAATAGAACTGTCATCCAATTCTAGTTCCAGAGCCAAGGAAACGCCCTGAGCGCGGATAGTTTGAATTCTCTGAAGAGAATTCATACGATTGACGATTTTCCAGTGAAACAACTTGTTTTGTATTAATTTGAAATCTAAACAGAAATTTATTGAATAAATATTAAATGTATACCTAAGGCTAGGCAGATTTACGTGCAATTGGCGCATATAAAGTCTACGATATAATTGATACATTCTTTGGACTTGAGATCCCGTCCAGCTGGGCTAGAGACGCTAGTCTCCATCTTCTCCTGTGACTGGTGCGACGGCTATCAGAGCTTTTAGCTGCAGTATCAAGTCGCCTGGTCACGCTTTTTGGATAAGACGCTAATCTATGGAGGTATTTTCTGGCCACCTTCTCGGTTTTGTCTCCAATTTCCTGTCACCTCGAGCGTCTTCCCTTAGTCTCCTTTTCAACTCTGTTCTAAAACCAATCTCGACATAGAGCTCTCAGCTATGGAGGAACACAAGGAGGAGCAACATCGACAGTCTCGATTCTCAAAGAAGCAATATCGGAGCAAAGTACAAATCGTTTAGCAAGCTATCTAAGAAATCTTAATAGGTTATCCAGCTAATCCCAACTTCGTAACGACCTACCAACCCAGCGACTAATCTTAGGCTTGCTCATTAACAATACAGTTAAAAAAATCAACGGCTAATTAAGGTATATTAATAGTATTTGAAAATGTATTGCTAGTTTTAATTGGTTAGTTAGTTTAAATTATAAGGAAGGATGCAATAAATATCCACAGCGAACTAAAACAAAAATGTCTATTTTCCTCTCTCTTTTTCTCTCTATCTCTTTTTCTCCCCTCTCTATCTTTCCCCCTCTCTCTCTCTCTCTCCCTCTCTCTTTCCTCTTTATCGCTTTCACCCTTCTCTGCCCATTCTTTGTGTTATCTCCCTCTCTTCTTCGCTTTCTCTCTCTCCACTTTATCTCTCTGTCTGCTGGCCTCTCTTCCTCTCTCTCTCTCTTTCTCTTCCTCTCTCTCTCTCTCTCTGTCTCTCTGTTGTTAACTCTATCTGTATCTCTCCTCTTCTCTCTAGCTATTACTCTTTGTCAATTCATCCCACTCTCTCTTTTCCTCTCTCTCTCTTCCCTTTCCCTCGAACCATCTCTCCTTTCCACACCCTTGAACTGTCAATCCTATTATATTTAATAAAAATAATTATTCTTCGTTCAACGAAACCTTTAATAATCGATATTTTCTTTCACTCTCTCGCTCCCTATCCCATGTCTCGCCTACCCCCTCTACCACCCTCTAGCTATGCCATTTGATGATAAATAATGCAACTGGCTGGCGATAGCGAGGCCGGCAGTATGCCCACCATCATTACCACAAGCACAAGCAGCAACAGCTTCTTGCAGAGAATCGCTCTTAAGGCGGTCACAGCTGCAACAACGACCAAAGATCGACTCATTTCCATAGTGGAGACGGACTCTCCCGCGGGCAGCCATATGGACCCTAGCACCGCAATGACAACCACATCGATAACCGCAACAGCAACAGCAACACCAGCAGCGACAGCGACAGCATCAGAGCTCAGTCGGTCTGATGTGCTCAATGCGAGCATTGAGGCCACCACAGCTGTCGGCATGGATACAGTTAAGACGGCAACAGAGTCCGGACTCCCAACCGTATCTGGCACCACCCTTCCATCGTGGAACTCGTCCTTCAACTCTGCCCTGGCCAACAACTATGACAACTGCTCGGCTATGTTTGCCAATTACACGCACCCGCAGACAGGTAAGCGCTGTTCAGACTGTCGCATCTCTTCACCCCCACTTCAGTTCAATGTCATTCACTCTTCACTAAGCACTTCACTCCACCCCGAGATGCCCCTTTCCTCGCTATTCTTGAGTTGCAAAGATAATAAAAACAATTAATGAAATCGAATAGTTCATGCGAAATGAGGTGAGATATGACATCTTCCGAAATACTGAGCACAGTCGATTAATTATCGGTAGACTGATAATGATAATGCTGTTTAAGGATATTATTATTATTTTATTGAGCGTTATTTCGCTTGAATATTTTTTGATAATTATAGAAAGCTTATTCCACAACTTTATAGGCGAGCTATGGCCTTTCAACTGAAATATTTAGACTTGCTAGTTAAGAATATTTCCTATTAATATCTATTATCTTTCAAAATACTTAGAACATTACAAATAATTGACTTGATAATGTCAATAAATCAATCACAAGTCTATCGATATAGTAAAATATAAATAAATATAAAATATACAAATCATATGAGAATCTTAGAAATTAATAAGATTGTGAGACTTTGCGGGCACAGGACACGCAGAAGTAAAAGAAATCGATCGAAATTGAAACAGATATTTTATTTACATTAAAAGATTTATTTATGAAAATCGATAAGCTATCGGAGTTGATTAGATATTAATATGTTGAGCATAATCCAGAAAGGCGATTAATAATCGATAAGGGAAATTAATAGGCCACAAATAGGACTATCGAACCCATATACATATATAACAAAATCAAATCATCATCTATATAATATAAATTTACATTAATGAGCTATCGAAAGATCTATCGAAATTTCATGCATTGACAACTTCATTTTGGAAAAGCAGGACACGACAGCACTGTCAAGTAAACTAATCAGATCTATAGAAGTTTTCGGCACGAAATCAATTCTCAAAAGTTCGTTTCAGTTTTGGCAAAGCTCTCTCGAAAATAAAATTCTTTTCTAAAAGACGGGCACAGACCGTATTCGATGAGAACTCAAATTGTTTTGATTTTTTAACCCTGTACATAAATTGATTAAATAGCCATCAATTTAAATGGTGAATGTTTTAACATTGAATTGCAAGATTCGAATTTGTTGCAAATTGTTACAAAATTGTTCGTAATGCTTAAGTTCGTTGTGAACATTGCCGTTCGGAGCGAACCGAAGGGTCGTTATGTAATCGCTGTACGCTCACAGACGAAACGTACCGGCTTTGCGAGTCCCATGTCAGACGAGAGCAGGCAGCTCTTGTGGAAGAAATTGTCCGCTTGGCGGCAGTCCCAGTCGGCCAAAGCCGACGCAGAAGCAGAAGCAAAAGCAGAGGCGGCCAGTGCCGGGGCCATTGCCGACGGCCAAAGCGACTTCTTCATGGAGCCGCATTTGTTCTCGGCAACAGCGGGCCCCGCCAGTGTCGTCAATGAAGTCAACAAGTATCTCCCCCTATTGGAACTAGCAAAACCGAATTCTTCAACTCGAACCCCGAAATCGAACACCAATCATGTCCAACTGATTCCAGCTGCAGAAGCTAAGAAGACATCAGCATCCACAATGAATGCCATTGCATCTCGCACAGTGAGACCACCTTCTGACCACTCAACGAATAACAACTCGCAATAGTTAAGTGAAGCTTCCAAATTATTCAAGTTTTAAACTGTACAATAATATACGGACAGAGAAATGCCAAATATGCGATCTGAGTTATCACTGGGCGGGCGGGAGATATCGAGTCGGTATTTCCAACTCATCTTTGCTGTTTCGCTCAATTGCCTGTTTCACTCTTTCTCGTGCTCTGCCTCCTCTCTCCTCTCTCTCTCTCTCTCTCTCGTGTTACATCTGCTTTCTTCTATATCTCATACCTTTCTTTCTGCCCGACCTTCTCTCTCGACGCTCAACTTCCTAGCACCTTATCTCATCTCATTACAAGTTTCGCTTTTCCTAAAATTCTGTTCCTTTGCATCTTTCCTTACTCCTCTCTCCACTGGCTTTCTTCTCTGCTTTCTCCTCTCTTTTCTCTTTTCTCTTATGTCTCGTCGCTCCATTCCTCTCTTTTTTCTCTGTTCTCTGTCCTCTGCTCTCTATCTTTCTTCTCTTCTCGACTCTTTACAATTTTTTCTTTTCTCTCTTCTTTATATTCTGGTTCTCTGTCCTCTGGACTCACTCATCTTTCTAACTTTCCACCTGATCTCTCTCCTCTATCTGTGCTCTCTGCTTTCTCCTTTCTCTTTTTAGAGAGAATCTCTCCTCTAATTTCTCTTTCCTCTTTCTTCTATCCTGTATCTTCTCTCAAACATCATCTATTCTCTATCCTCTTATTTCTCCTCCCACTAACTTAGATCACTATCCTCCCCCTCTATCTCCCTTTTCGCTTTCTCTCTCTCTTCCTTATTTCTCACTGTATATATCTCTCTTTATTAATCTCTGCTCTAGGACTCTATTGCAACTGGACTTGGGACTCGCTACTATGCTGGCCCCCAACACCCGCTGGAAACCTCGCCCGCATGAACTGCCCCGCTGGCTATCATGGAGTTGATACACGCAGTAAGTAAATAAAAGATGTCACAAACAACTTGTGGAATCCACATCATTAGAGGTCTTAGACTTTCGCCTATCATAACCTTGCAAAGCTCAAATATAAATATCCCTTCGTCATGCTTAGGAATTTGTGAATGGCATATAGAAATATTGACCTTTTAAGTCTCCCCAGCCTGAAATACTACTCTTATAATTTAATTAAACAACTTCTTAAATATGAAATCGAAAAAAAATCGAATATGGGAAAAAGTTGCTTAACCTTGATATATAACGTAGCCAAGAGCCAAAAGCCAAATGCCAGAGAGCTCCCACTTTGAGCGAACTACTTCGATATGCACGAAGGCATCAGTGAATGGGAGTCACGTAAAACTCAACTGAGATTTTGCTCAAAGGCAACTGAAAAGCTGCAAATATACATATATATATATACAACATATACATATGTATGTTTATAAATAGACCATATATACGTATGTAGTGCATGGCTTAGTAGACTAATATCACTTTGATGAGGGGTTTGCCTCTATAAAATTTATAGAGGAATTATATAGTATAAATAGATAATTACCTAGAGCTTAAACTGGGCCAAACTCTGACCCATTGTCTTGTCCTGAGCATTCGACACCTGGTGCTCTGCACTATAATTTACTCGAAATTGCTTGTGGATTAATTGATTCATACTATATATATACAGTTACTCGGGCGACTTGATAATTTAAGAAAACTATTTCTGTAAAGCCAGTCGTACTTGATTCTTGGATACTCTTCATTTAGCCATACTCTGTGCTTAGGTCAAATATCTCTTGATGAATATGCATGTAGAAAATTATTTTCAAAATATATAATATATAATTATTATATTTTTAATATAAATGTTATATTATTAATATTATATGTATACTATTAATATAATTATTATATTACTATCTCCCTCTCTCTCTCTCTATAAATCTCCAAACTCTCTCTAATTTCAATCACTCTCAAGCTTTTTTAATATTTTCTCTCCCAATCTCTATTTCAACTTCCGTCTCTTTGAATCACTCTCTCCCTCACCCTTTCTATCACTCTCTCTTCACTCTTTCTATCTCTCTCTCTCTCTCTCTCTCTCCAATTCTCAATCCATCTCGCTTCTGAATAATCAAATCAAGAAATCGATTAACATTAGAAGATTTTAATGATGGAATTGTTATATTTAAGAAAGATCAGATAAAGTATTTGATATTATCATTCGATTGGTGCCCAAGCACCATTGAATAATTGGCCAGACACAAATAGTAGAACCCTTGTATGCACCTGAATTAGTTCCGTGAAAATTGCGAGTATTCTTCAAACTCAATTTACCCTTCCGACGACCTCATTACGGGTCGATTGTGCAGCTAAAAATCCGAATGTCAAAAGGCAAGAGCGTGCAAGGCAATTCCTAAAAATTACTAATTGAAACGCTTTGAATACTGCCCTGCATCGAAGAGTGTGAACGTTGTGCTATAAATATAAAAGACTATACCTAGAAAACATTTTATGGCTCTATTCCGAGTAGCTCTTTCGCATAGGGGAACGAGCTGCTTATCTGCACTTTCTCAGGGCTCTGCCCGCAGCTGAGGGAGTCACGCTATATACTCTTCCATTTTATTTCTGCACGGAACCGCAATTTACGCCGGAAGTAACAACGCATGTGTATGTGCGGGTGTGCGGGTGTGTGTATGTGTGTAAGAGAGGAGCGTATATTGGTCAAAGCCTTTGAAGATAATGATAATGAGCACCATGGCTGCTCGTTGCCATGGCTTTAAGTTGGGCAATTTGAAGCTTTTACGCAGGTCGAAATGCAACCAGCTCAATATTTAATGAGAGAGAGAGAGACGGGCCACATAATTTCAGCTGTCCTCGATTGTCGCCCAGGTATCACAGCAATGCACACCTGTATGTATCACACAACGGGGCGCAAGTACATAAAAAAACACAAACACACACACACACACATACATACACACACACACATACACACACAGCTCTTTACTTCGCTTCGATTCGATTGACATAATTACAGTAAAAGCGAGAACGTTGACGAACGTTTGGTCTCTGCTTAAGACAGGGGTAAAGGTCACAGATGCGCGATGGACGAATACCCTGGTAAACCAGGAATAAGCCCAATCGGAATTCGATTTTTGCCATTTAATTAAATGGAAAATTTGATATGAATAGTGTCTTTATTTTATCTGAAGAATCGAAATTGTCCATAAATGCCCTGAATATTTCTGAGCATTCAGACATATGAAATTCTATGAGCTTAACAATCTCTGAGTTGACTCTGTATAAGTTAGGTTTTAGGACATTAAGGAACTCCTCCTACAAGAAGGAGAGCTTCTCTTAATCGTCATGCCCGCTCTTGAGCTGAATTCTGGCTACAGGGTATTAATAAGGTCAGCAGTGAGAAAGCATTGGGGAACAACAATGAAACGTGATTGGTCGGAAGCGACAATTTCTAATACAAAATGTCACTAGTCCAGAAATATCCTTTGCGCTCTATACAGGGTGTGCACGACTTGCAAATCAAATTTGAATAGCTATGAAAATCCTTGGCTTTACTCAAGCTATATCAATGGCATTTACTGGCTATGGCCTTTGGATTGACAGCTGCAAATTATTTATTTACTGGCTTGGGCGAGCTTTGTGAGGAACGGAGCAGGTAGAGTAAGGAGCAGGAAGTGGGGAGCGGAAAGTGGGTAGTGGGGAGCCTGGACCCTGACACACATAATTGTAATTGCTTTCATTTTAATTGCATTGAATCAGAGTTCGCGAATCGGAAATGCGAGCTGGATGGCCATTGGGGCGGACGACCCAACGAAACGGAACCCAACCACGCCGGCTGGACGGACTACGGGCCATGCTATAAGCCGGAGGTCATACGCCTGATGCAGGAAATCAAGGATGTAAACGTAAGCACGAATGCCGGACAGAGCGGCTCAATGGAACGTGTTCCCCTTTCAATTTCACTTGTTCTATATTGACAGCTCTACATTGACATTGCGCAACGGACACGGACACTGGAGATCATTGGCCTATGCCTGTCCCTGCTCGCCCTCATCATCTCGCTGGTGATATTCTGCGCGTTTCGCTCGCTCCGCAACAATCGCACCAAAATCCACAAGAACCTGTTCATCGCGATGGTGCTGCAGGTGATTGTCCGACTAACCCTCTACCTGGATCAGTTTCGTCGCGGCATTCAATACAATTCAAGTCTATCGGCTATCGAGAATACGGTAAGTAAGCCAGCGATAGCGACTTATCGTCGATAGACAATAACTACTCACAGTCAAGTGTGTGATTGGTAGAATAGCTCTACTACTAAGGACACTGTTGTTATAGACAATTATAGCTCGATAACCTAACCTGTTATCGAATGACAATTAAATTGCTTTTGCATGGATACCGAAATATAAATGCAAAGGTATAAAAGTACAATCGAATGATTATTAAAATTTTATCAAATTGGTATCGAACGATTGTAGACTTATTACCAAACCACAATCGAATGGTTATCGAACAGTCCAAAATTTTTTTATTGATATTTAGCTAAATTGCTTTCAAATAAAAGTAAAATCTTTAGCGATTTAATATTGTTACTCATTAACAATCGAAATGCTATCAAGATGTTATCTAGTAATATAATTTTGAATATCGATCACAATCGATTTATTGTACATTGAATTTCAGTGACTTCTCTCTCATGACTTCTTCTCTGACACCCATTCAATTGTAATATAGATCCTTACACCATTTTACTGTTCCATTATAATAAAATCGAATAAATTTACGATAGATAATTATAATTTAGGCTATCAGCTTCTGATTCTTATTGTCTTAACATAAATAAATCGATTAGAATCAATATTTTGGAAGTATTGTGCATTTAAAAAAATTATTTTATATCGATGCTCATCGATTTGTTATCGATCACAGCCCTATCTGTGTGAGGCATCCTATGTACTGCTCGAGTACGCACGCACCGCCATGTTCATGTGGATGTTCATCGAGGGCCTCTACTTGCACAATATGGTCACCGTCGCTGTGTTCCAGGGTAGCTTTCCGCTAATCTTCTTCTCGCTGCTCGGCTGGGGTATGCCCGTTGTGATGACCTTTGTGTGGGTGCAGTGCACGGCCATCTTCATGGACACCGCCCTCGGCGACTGCATGTGGAACTACAACCTAACACCCTACTACTGGATCCTGGAAGGACCCCGCCTGGCCGTCATACTGGTGAGTTAGCCGAGCTGCCCAAGGAGAGAAGCTGCCCAGTCTATATCAATCTATTTAACTACCTTTCCGCTCTGCAGCTAAACTTCTTCTTTCTGGTCAACATCATACGAGTGCTGGTGGTAAAGCTGCGCCAGTCCCAGGCTAGCGATATCGAGCAGACCCGGAAGGCAGTCCGGGCGGCCATTGTGCTGCTGCCTCTATTGGGTATTACGAATCTATTGCATCTGGTGCCAGCACTGAAGACAGCTTGGAAATTCGCCATCTGGAGCTATGTGACCCACTTTCTGACCTCCTTTCAGGGCTTCTTCATTGCGCTCATCTATTGCTTTCTGAACGGCGAGGTACGTCCTGATCTCTTTCCACTTCCTTGCTTTCCGCTAACCCATTTGCTACACCCTTTCTCAGGTGCGCGCTGTGCTGCTAAAGAGTCTGGCCGTCTGGATGTCGGTGCGCGGACATCCGGAGTGGGTCCCGAAGCGTGCGTCCATGTACTCAGCTGCCTATAACACAGCACCGGATACGGAGCCACCGGCACAGCAGTCGGTAGAGGCGCTGTCCTCTAACATACGGTAAGTGGTCACTGCCAGGCGGAGATACCCTGTAATATAGTGTGTGACATTCGGCATTAGGATCTCGCCGCAAAGCAGACGCCTCAATTGCCGCAAGGCCAGCAGCGTGATCATCGTCATTGCCAATGAGCCGCAACGTCAGCGAGCTGCCCAGCAGCGCAACAACAACAACACGGCGAATGGGAATGGGAATGGGAATGGGAATGGGAGTCGGAATCAAGGCAAAGACGAACCGGCGAGCGGCTCAGCTAGATCTGGCCAACGGATCAGGAGCAAGGAGACACCGGAACAAGGTCGCAGCACGGGCAACTGGATGTTTAGCCTGTGCTTTCACGGCCAAAAGGTACTGAGAGTACCGCCAGCGTCATCCGTACCACCCGAGTCAGTTGTATTTGAGTTGTCAGAGCAGTAGGCCAAAAAACCGTAGTTCTAGCCAACTATATATAGAAACTTAGCAATCCCGTAGCACAACCCCCTATCCACCTAGAGACTAGCCTCGACTTTGGTTGAAAACTCTTCGCATAACTTATCAACCTTTTAGCTTATATGCACAGAACATCCACCCGAACTATATTAGAGATGGGCGCATCTCGTGCATGACTAAACAGGATCGAATACCGTAATCAATAGGCATATGCCCGATTGTCTAGTGATATTTCGTGTGCGCCCATCTCTAAATGCTATTCAATTTTGTATGCTGTAAAAATTGCCTAATTAGCCTTAAAACCACGAATTACACACGAAACACGCTTTTTGCGACTGCTTGGCTCGAGTTGACTTTGTCCTAGCGACAGTTCACTGTACGCTATCTACCACACCCATATGCTTGACTCCGACCTGTACACCTGACTATATCCTCAAGATCGCCAGCCATCAACAGGTCCCAAAAATTCTTTGTATTTTATTACATTCTAATCAAATCCACAATTATGCCTAGGATCTTGAATAGCATGTCGATTAAACCAAAGAAATCCCTAAATATTTTATTCAAAATAAAACAAATTTGTAATAGAAATCAGTGTGACCGAAGCACCATTTGACTTTATCATAATGATCTTGAATTTTCGAAGCACATTTGTGGTTAAACTCATGTAAATATGTATAGACATATAGTAAATATAAGAATTCAAACTGTACATCTATCTCGATCAATTATCGATTTAAGTTAGTATATAGTAATTGAGTTTTGGTAGGACAAAGATATGCCCTATTGATATTAGAATAGAGTATTCATATCTATATGCTTTTAATGTGACTTACCAAAAAATTATTAACAAATGCTTATTTACAAAAAAAGAGGAATTTGTAAAGTACTTTAGAAAAATAACGAAATCGATTCACTGTCGATAGCAATTCTTAATTGGGAAGAGCTCAAACGGTAACTTTCAAAAAGTCAAAGCCGAAATGAAGATAAATTAGAAAGGATGTAAACAGGTTTATCTTGACTATGAGAATGGCTTTACAGGAAATTCATGTTGGAATGAAGATAAGTTAAAGAAAAACTTTAAGATCATGATAGAAAGTAGAGAGTAAGCGAGTGAGATGCAGGTATAGGAAGAGAATGTAAGGGGAATTTAATATGAATGGTGAGTTCTTGACAAAAAATATAGATACTCATAAAGATTTCACATAAATAAAAATGTAATTTCCAAATAACTCTAAAGGTAATTGATAATAGTTTTAGAAGAACTTTAAGAGAAAAACAAAACTGAATGAGTAAATATACAAGATCTTTAAGGGAATTTTACAATATTTATAATAATAATTTGACAAAAAAAAAGCTGATTTTTGCATATTAAAAGTAAAAATATTAAAAGCCAAGTTATAGAAAGACTTGATATCGACTCACAATAGATCAGATAAAAGATTAGAAAAATGCTTTAATGAAAAAGGAAGGAACACCAAAATTTTGATATGTATATAATATCTGTATATAATTTTAAAAATTTATTTTTGGACATTTTTAACTGTTAATCGCATTAGCAATTTAGCTCGCCCGTGGAAAGAACTTTAAATACATTTTAAGTACTGAATATACCTATTGAATGGAGTTTATGGCATAAGTAAAGGGTAGCCGTTAGTCGATCAGTTCAATGTCTTTCATATATCACTAGAATTCGGTCACACTGGTCAGCTTATATAGGCAAAAATGATATATGCCTCTTATTAACGCTCTTTTTTAAACTATACTAAATTTAACGATTGCAACTAAAGTTTATTCATAAATAATTTTACCAATAATTAATCTGCTCACTGAGTTTTTTTGCAGCGCTTTGTTTGCAACCAAATGCACAAGATTTGCAATTATTTTTTTATAATATTTTTGATAATTGAAAGAACAGAAACAACAAAAGCTATCAAACTTAATGTCTATGTGCTTTCTCTCTCTCTCTCTCTCTCTTTCTCTCTCTCCCTCTTTTCTTCCATTTTTCACCATTCTATGATATGCATACAAATAACATTTTTTTTTTGCGAACTTTTCATAAAATTTTTGGCGCGCTTCTGGTTGTTGCATTTTATGTCTCTCTCTCTCTCTCTCTCTCTCTCTCTCTCTGTCTTTGCCTTTCTCTCTTTTTCGTTTCTTGCCTGTCTTTTTGCTTGTGTCATTTGCAGAACAAATGTGTGATGCCTGGCGCTCAGCAAATATTTATGACGTCACAATTGTCCGCAACGACATCAATGGCGACGCCAACAACAACAACTACTACTACAACAACAACTGCAATCGCAACCATAACAACAACAAGCTGAACAGCCGCAGCAGCAGCAGTCGTGAAAATATTGCAAAAGCCAAAATACTAACTGTAAACCTTAAGAACTGTTAAACGCCTAAAGCTTAACGCGAGCACACGCTCCCACTCCGCCACACATACACTCGCTCAATATATCGCCCTCATCTCACTATCTCGCTCTCGCTCTCGCTCTCGCTCTCTCGGTGTCGCTTTATCCGTTGCCCTTGCGCACGTTTTAGCTTAGCTTCTAAGCGCGCAACTGTACTAAAGAAAAAACTCAACTGAAATGTGTGCACTTTTATAAATAGATTAATATCAATTATTTTATATATATGTATCTATGTATATATCTGTATACATATCGGTATAAATATTTATACCTATATATATACATACATATACATATATATGTATTGCTAACTCATAACTGAGAGAGAAAAATACCGCAAATCGAAATCGAATTTGATTCGATGCGTGTTCTCTTCTCTTTATGGCTATATTTGTGTGTGAACAATTAATATTTAAGTAAAAACTGTTTTTTTTTTTTTTTTTTTTTTTAATAAATATATACTTAATATAAGGCGGCAAACTACTAAAACAAAGAAAGTATATGCATACATACATACATATATGCATATATCTATATACATACATGTATACATATGAAATATATACATACATATATAAACATGTTATTCATATACAACAAACATAGCTACATATTTATATACATACATACATATATAAACATATAGTGCAATTACATACATACATATATATATATATATACATATACATATATATATATACACATAATATCACATTATATCAATATAACGGTATACCAAGCTACCTGAACATTTTAAAATACATACATATATACATATGTGCTAAAGGTTATTCATGCATTCAAGTTGAACTAGTTCGCATTTACTTACCCAAAACTCAATTTCGATCTTTTAATATTCTCTAATAACTTATCCATATGATTATTTTGTAAAACTTTCCTAGAATATACCTAGAGACCAGATAGCATTGGATGATGTGGAAAAAAGATAATGCACTCTTGCACAATCTGTTCGTTCACATCTGATTTCATATAATGTACCTAATTTTGACATCATCACACCCTAATAGATCTATGTGTCCTCTGTAAAGCATCTGCAAACTTAAGCAGTTCATAACTATAGCTCTCAAAGCTATGAAAGCTATAGTCTTGGTCCATTTGCCAGGTCCTCCTAGATCTACATACATTCTCTACAACTGTTAACTGTTAGCTGTTAACTGCAAACTGTTAACTGTGAACTGTGGATGTATCCGTTTATGAGTGTTAATTTCATAAAGTATTCTAAAATTTAAGGTCTCTAGCGTTAATAATAGCGAAATGACTCCCAAGCACAGCTGAACAGATGAACAGCAAGACCAATTGCACATAAGCTATATATACTCTCTGAAGAAGTCACTATTATGAGAGCTAGACTTATCTCGCCCCACCCCCGACTCTGTATCTCTCTCTCTTTAGCTCCCTCTTATCCAAATAAACATCTTTGCCGGTTCAGATTTCATTCCGAACTGGTTCATTTGCAACATTCTCAAGCCCGGAAACAAAATGCATGAGTTCTACATACAAATATGTATGTATTTATATATACTGTTATATTGGAGAAGTACAAAATGCAGTCACAGTGCTTGGTATACAATATCTTAACATACTCGTACACACACACACATATATATATATACATACAAGCATATATAGAGATGTCTATCAAATATAGTGCATGCGCATTTTTTGCAAACTTAAGAACCATTTACACCGGTAAATGCCGACTTGAAGCCCCATTTAGAACGTGTGCAAATGAGCGAAATATATTTTTGCTCACATATTTTTTAAAGCCTTTTTTGCCCCTCGACTTCGCGCGAAAACAATTTTTTTTTTCTTAAGCTAAGAACTTGATGGAAGCAAGCCGAATTTAAAGAGAATACACACACAAAATAGGAAAATGGAAAAGCTAACTACTTAATACAAAACAGAACTGTGAGAAACATAAGAAACCATAAGAAACAGAGAAACCAAAAACCAAAAGAAAAATATGTGGTCAATGGCAAACTATTACGTGTATAAGCAAACATAATATGCATATATCTATGTGTATATGAATAAACTTGATTTTATATGTGTATCTAAATAGTTGATGTGTGTCCCGCCTATTATTAATTCGGATTGGGGAACTCTAGATCTCGTGAAATGAGAACGAGAACTGGAACGATAACGTGATCAAGAGCGCGCTGGAAAGATAATCTATGCGCGCAGGTCTTTCGATACAAGTATATGCTATATGCATATTTATATCCACTATATACGATACTGTTATTGAGTTGGGGGTTGGCACGTGTCGTGTGTGCGGTGAGGTGAGGAGGGGGGCAGCCATAAGGCCTGCCATATCCATATCGATAACTACGAATGGCCAAAGCGGCTAAATGAGACGATTTTATGGGCCATCAAATAGGTTTGTTTTTTTTTTTTTTTTTTTTTTTTTTTTCGATTGTTTCTATTTGGTATCTAGTTTCATTTTCTGTGCACAATTAAAAGTCCACGAAATTAGGCAAATTAACAACAAATACACACAAAAGCCAATCATGAGCAGAGTAATAATAATAATGATATTAACAATAATACAAACACATTGTCAAGTACATACATGTACATACATGATTTCATTAGCTACATACAACAACAACTGGAGAGCAGCAATCGCAACAACAACAACAATAACAGTAACGGCAACGGCAACGGCAACGGCAACACAGCAGCAACAACAATCACAGCGAGAGCAGCGAATATAGCAACAACAACAACGAACCAGTCGCCGAACCAGAACCAGAACTAGAGCAAATTACAGTACAATGTGAGAGCTGAAATTAAATTAACTCTCGCGAAGCCTTAAGTGATCTGCGTGTGTGTGTGTGTGTGTGCGTGCGTATATGTGTGCGTGTGCGTGTGTGTGTGCGGGGAATTAGAAGTGCTCGCTGATTGGCCGGCGTGCGACTCTTCCAATTAGAAGAGCAAATCCTCGTCGCCGTCCTCTTCGAGGATATTCTGCGCCTGTTCGCTGCAGACCACGTTGTAGCCCTGGCGACGCAGCTCCTCGCGCTTGAGATCCGCACACTTGCGCGCCTCGCGCTTCTTGTCCTGGATCTTCTTCAGGCGGTAGAACTCCTCGCGCTCCAGCTCGTCCAGCTCACTGATGATGTACTCAATGGTGCGATTGATGCGCGGTATGATAACTGTAATGATTCATAATCAGAAACATCAATGTGATATCAAATCTACTTGGAACTAACCATGCTCGATGGCATTGACACGCCTGTTGGTCACCTTGATGACATCGTCCAGCGTCACAAAGGACGTTTGCAGCGATGCCAACTCGACCAGCAGACGCACCGCGCTCTGGTAGTTCTTCTTCAGCTTGGCCAGCTGTTGGCCGCCGCGCGCCAATCCGGCCAGCTCGTAGGTATCGACGCCATCCTGATAGGGCTCGAACAGGGGCAGAGTGACGCCGGCGACATTGTCCTTTTTGGTGCGTATCTTGATCTGTGCCTTGGTCACGTTCTGCAGCACGATCTGATTGATGTCGCCCGTGGTGAACTTGACCTCGGCCAAAGAGAAGGCCGCCTCCTTCATCACCTGGCCCATTAGCATTTTGGTCTGTGCAAAGAGGGAGAGGGAGAGGGAGAGAGAGATCACTCGGATGGCGAGACGGTGACATCATTAATCAGCTGCTCTTGCCTACCTCAATGATCTTGCCCAGAATCAAACGGAAACGCATCTGCAAAGCGTCAGCCTTCTTCTTAAGTAGGCCATGGCCTTTCGTGGCGCCCGCCAGACGCGATTTCATCAACGTTTGTGCTCTGCGCGACAGAATGCGTGAGATGGAGAATTCTCTCGAGACAGAGACAAGGAGAGACAGAGAGGGGGAGAGCACTTACCCGCGCGATGGAAATATGGGCAGACGATCTCTGGCGGCCATGATTCAATTGGTTTGGTTAATGAAGCCCACAAGTTTACCGTTACTGGCACCGCTACAGTTCCGTTATGCGCTGCTTCTTCTTTAGCCGTCTGCCAACTGATGACAAATTTGAATAGAATTTTGTGTTGTGCACAACTTTTGTAAAACGTCAACAGAAACGACAATAATAATACATATGAACAACAACAACAACAACAAAAGCAACAATAACAAAGCATAGACTATAAACTAAAAATAAGAACAACAAAATATTAACCACAATGAATATATGCGACAAATATACAAAAATAAACGGACGAGCACCGAGCAAAAAGAACGAGAACCGCAAAGCAAAGCACACGACAGCGAAATGGGACAAATGACAAACAGCGCAACGGTCTTCGATGTTAACGTCAACGCCGACGCAGGCGCCAACGCCGACGCCGACGCAACATCGTCCAATGTGACGTATGGATAAAAGTGAAGCGCGTCCATTGGGCCGAGCGCTCAGCTGATGCCATCACATCAAACGTCAGCGAGGAGCACGGCTAGCTAGAGATGAGCGCGTGATTGATCGATCAAATGCCACAGATTTCGCTGCAGTGTAAATTGCATTTCGTTTTGCATATCAATTACATTTTGAATGGAATTTAATTTCCTTTTTCAGTTGAAATTTGAATAGAATTAGATATCAAATTTGAAGGAACTACTTGCGAATAAATATAACAAAACCTTCAATCTCACACTGATGACGCCGCAGCGCACACATCTCTAAGCCAGTGCTGCCAAATGGCTGCGTTGACCGTTACATCGAATTGAGTTAAATTGATGCTGATTGCTAGCAGTACGCACAACACTCAGTCAGGTCGTCAGTCACTAAAAACAAAGAAATGTCCGAGCCCAAGCACAGCACACACGCTGTCGCTTCCATTGTCATCGTCTTTCGGCATGACCTGGCAATGGCAAATGGAGCTTGTACGCAAACGGGGGCGAGGGTGGCACAGAGGTTGCCCGAGTCACGCAATTTGAATATGCGTCTTGTGCGCCGTCATGTGTCAAAAAAACAAAACGAGGCAAATTAAACACAATGCGAAAAAAGCAGAAAAACAAAAAAAAATCATATACACGTGTGCGCTTTATACAGTAGGTTGGTTAATAATATTTATTAAAATAAAAAATATTGCATGGGCAACTGAGAATTACTGGGGTCACAGTCTAGCTCGAGGTCTGGGCCGCGCAACGTTCGTTGCAGGGCGTGGCTGGTCTGAGCAAGGCCGTAACCAACGTGGAATCAATTGCCTAACCAGGCATCTGCCATTACTAGCCTACGAAATGCTCAAACACTAAACGATTCTCTATAGCCCTTTCTATTTTACGGTAAGTTAAAGTTAATATATATATTATATTTAATAGCAGTACTTAGTGCAAAAGTTGCTTAAGATTCAATTAACAAAAATTACTGAGTACATCAATCGTAATTGTCGAGTATTTGTTATGCAGGTGACATCCAATTGAGCTTAAGTCCTTGAGTAAGTCATATAAAAGTCAAAATTCGTATGTATTTACATATGTACACACATACGAATGCACACACACAGCCACACACAAAAACAGCCACAAGTGGCGTGAAGCGCACACACAGGGCGCACACAAAGAACAAAGTGAATCAACAGTTGGCGTCGCCGTTACTGCTGTCTAATTCGTATTGGGCTAAATATTGGAGAGTGGGAGCAGAAGCTAGGCAACAGGAACAAAAAAAATACTTTTGCGCCTCTCTTTTGCTCTCTAGCTCGAATTTTTATTACCGTTTGGCAAAAGTCACGAACAGGCACACTGACTCACTCAACGACTCCCTCGCTCACTCGCATACACACAGACACAAAGCACACATACACACGCACACGCACGCACTCATCCTGTTAGATGTTAACAGCCTTTTTCATGGTCGTGCATTGTGCAGGGGCTCACGCTTTCCAGCGACTTGTTGAACAGGGCGCCCAGCATGTACGCCACTGGACATACATTTTTCTCTTAAACGCACAGGAACAGAAGCTCAGCTAGGATGCTGCTACTGCTGCTATTGAGGCCGCAGTTCGCATTTCGCAGCGCCCGCAAGTAGGTTACACATTTTTAGTCGCTCTCCCGATTTATTAAATCAAATTGTGAGATTAACCACTCAATCACCAGTAAGTAAATAAAGCTGTTAAAAAAAACTAATGACTAAAGAAAATAAATGAAATTCGCTCAGTGCAAACGTCTAAAAGTATACAAAGATGTGGGTGAAGGGGCGAAGTAGAAAACGGGGCTATATGGGTGCATATTCTGTCCCTAAGCGTCGAAAATTGTTGAATATAATGCGATTGTAATACCAGTGGCACCAACAACAACTGCAACAAACAACAATAAAGAAAAAGCAAGAGAGAGTTTTCATGTGTGCGTGCTGGAATGCGTCGGTGAGCGTGTGAACGCGTGAAAGAGAGATAGAGAGAGAGAGAGCTATGCGTACTCTCTAATTGAGTTATGAAAGCAAAAATGCCACTGAAAGCTGGCGTTTAATATATACATATGTGTGCAAGCATGTATGCATGTGTATGTGCGCATTCATACCTATATGCGACACACACAAGCATAAACAAAAAAAATTTTTTTTTGTATGCATGTGAGGACAATTTACACACTCACAACTGCAATAAAATTTCATGAAGCTGCGCTTTAAACTATTCATATTCGACTAAATAAGCCCATCTAATAAGTATGCTACACACTCTTCACACTTCTTTATATAGCATACATTCCCGAGCACATTTAGATATTGTAATTTCACGAAATGGAGTACAAACTGATCACAGCTGACCACTTTGAGCGAGTGATCGAGCATTTGCGTCGCAATTTTTTTGCCGATGAGCCACTGAATCGTGCTGCTGGCCTCTGCCAGCACGGGGGTGGCAACGCTGAACTGGAGCATCACAGTCTGACAACGCTGCAGGATCAGCTAAGCATCATGGCAGTGGATGTTCGTAAGGATAGCAACAGCTACGGCCAAATCGCTGGCGTCATACTCAATGGCGTCCTCCGTCCAGGCGATACGGAACAGGCGCTAGAAAAACTGCAGGAGAGCACCGATGCCAACTATAAGAAAATCTTTGAGCTGCTCTACGGCCACAGCCTGCAGGTGGATCTCTTTGCGCGCTACAATGTCGAACAGATTTTTGATGTTCGTATCCTCTCAGTGGATGCACGCTATCGCGGACAGGGCATAGCCAAGGAACTGGTGCGCCGCGCCGAGCAGGTGGCACGCAAATCGGGCTTCCAGCTGCTCAAGGCTGATGCCACCGGCATCTTCTCACAAAAGATTCTGTGCTCGCAGGGCTTCCAGCCGTTCTCCGAGCAGCTCTATGCCAAATATACAAATGACGTTGGCGAGATAATCTTACCCGTGGAGGCGCCACACATTAAGCTGCAGCTGCTGACCAAACAGCTCAACAAGGACACTCAGTAGAAATACAAAGACAAAAACTAAATTTTTATAGCCATTTTTTTTATTATTATATACGAGTTTATACATATACATATATATATATATATAGATATATGTACGTTAAAATACTGTTATATTATGTTTCTAATACTATTTTTTTGTATTCGAAAAAGTTCTGAAATACTTGTCTTGCTCTACAAGGGATTATAATATAATATATAACTTGTTGTTGTTGTTCTTTTGATTTTTTGTTTTAAATGGGGACCAACTATTAAATAAATGCTATAACTATACAAAAAAAAACAATACTAAGCTTTGTTTTGCTTGACAACAAAGGTTAACGCAAAAGTGGAAAAAAATAAATATACTTATATATACATATATGTATGCATATATAAATATATACATATATACATACATACATGTATATATATTATATACAACAAAATGAAACAATAAATAAAGTAAGCAAATTATATTGACAACAAAGTTAGTTATTGAAAACTAACGGTACATATAGCTTAGGTACGTCAGATGAAAGGCCAAGCCAAGTACGATCAGATCGCAGTCCTAATACAAGTAAATATCACAAAAGCTAGCAGGTCCAATTTAACAACAACAACTGTGGCAACTGCTGGCCAGGTACAGTATGACATTATGTCGACTCCATCGGCATCCTGGTGTTTACTTTTTGCGTTTCGATTTCTCGAAAATGAATATAATATCCTGATCGGTGCCGAAAGCCGAGCGTGCTGTGTCCATAGAAGCCGGTGAACAGCGGCAAGTATCTGCAATAGATTAGACGATTAGTGAATACATCGATAAGTATAATTTAGTTAATTTCATTGCATCCCACTTACGGCCATCGCGTGTTTCTGGATTGTTATAAAATATTGTATGTGCTTCTGCGTCGTAGCCACATAGCACCACATAGTGTCCAGCAAAACTTTTGTTTTTATTTTGGGCAAAACAGAAGAGATGAAAACTTAACAATAAGCAAAGTGGTTAAAGTGGGTTAATCAAGCCAATTCAAGCACTGAAAGAATGCACAGCCAAGTCACGCTTCAAACGACCGTTGGGCGCCAGCTCACATTCCGATAACAGAACTCTATCGATAATTGAGATCTCGGCATTTCATATGGTAATTTAGCAACTGGATGGATATTAAATGCAAGTGTCTGGCGGTGCCACGGCAAATGACTATGATTGTCTGGTGAGAAGGTTGCATAAGTGATTGCAATTATTATCCAATTCAGTTCATTATTGGCAAGCGGCCTGGACCTTGGCACGTTCTCAGTTCGTTATTAAGATTTCCGTGTCTTTGTTGTGCATTCGGATTATTGCATTGCATTAAGTAGTACGTAAGTAATGTATATATGTATGTATGCACGTAACAAAACAGCTACGTTACGATTACCTACCCAAACTTTTCACGAATCGTACGACGGCACACTTCGCAAATGAGTTGCGAGGCATTTGTTAACAGTATAATTGGTCCATGGCGTGCCAAGTGCATAACAATCGCATGCATGTTCACCGTACGCTGCTGGATGCGCAAGCCTTTCGCAGACGCTTCCTTGAACCTGCGCATCACCCGCTTCTCGTCCTTGTCCAGTACATGTGAATAGTATGAATGCTTCTTGTAACTTGGATCCACGCCAATCGTTTGCGTTAAGTATTCGTGACGCACGTGATAGCGAAGCAGCAGATAACAGAGATCGATTGTCCAGGTGCTGACACCGAAACCTTCATCCTTGCAGATGCTCTCGAAATTGTTTAGGAACTGTTTACGTTGCGATGAGGACAATATCATTAAAATGCAGGTCACCCCGCAATCCCAGTTGAAACGTTGTTGAATGTGCGTAATATTATATTGTTTACTTTGAGGTACAGCGGTCATCGTTGTCAGATGATTCAATTTGTGATTTTAGTTTATTTCTTTCTTTTATTTATTTATTTATTTTTTTTTTTTTTTTTTTTAATTTTTATTATTAAATATATTTATATATTTTTTTGTTATTTTTTGTGGATTTGTGTTTTCGTCTTCAGAATTTGTTGACACGGTGGTACCAAACTCTTTATGTAAACGCTTCCTTCTTACTGGTGTTGTGACTTAAAATGTCCTTGTCAGTCATTAAAATTTTGATTACTACACCAAAGAATTTGGTACCAAGGGATTTCAAAAGCCAAATTTTGAAGACGAAATTGCGAAATGGTGTTCCATTGGTTTCTTTTTATAAACAGATGAGTGTGTAAATCGTAGCAGGCCGACGTAGCGTTGAAATGCTATGTTAAAATTAACAGATGCGTAAGCGCAAAGTGAGTCGCGTAAGTGCAAAAATGAGTAACGATGAGCCAAGCACTGCTCGGCAAGCAGTGCTAAGCAGACAAGTGCTCTTTTCAGCACTTACAATTCCCAATGCGAAGTTATCGGTTCTATTCGATAAGCAAAATTTCTTGCCTTATTTTAAAAATTAGTGCGCATTTTTGCGTAACGGATGGCTAACATTAGAGATGTGCGATACTGTGACTGGGGCCACTGTTAACCTTAAAAATACAAACATCGGCAATTATGATTTTTTTAAATGAAGGCAGAATCCAAGTCCACAATACTTTCAGTTTGACATACAAACAAAACAAAGCACTCTTTTCACTTACTCCTTTCACTACACGCGGATAGGAAACTTTTTAGTTAGAGTAATATTAATTTAAAATGTTTGTAATGTGTTATGTGTATTGTTGAAATTGAAATGAAATAAATGAATTAATGAGTTTTATAATTGAAAGATAAATGTGGTCCTTGGTAATTCATATAAAATGAAATGTAAAGTCCGTTAGTTTCAAGTGCTCTTGAAATATCGCTGCGACACGCTATTTGCGCAAAACTATCGCACATCTCTATCGCATAACATAATACACAAGTGTGCGAATTCCATAAAGTCGCGCACGGCCAGATACGGGTCGGGTAAATATTAAACAATATCAAAATTCTTCTAGATGTAAACGGCAATTGGCATAGAAAATTGAATATTTATGTCAGCGCCGAGACAGGCGGCGGCAACAGTACATCAACAGTGTGTGACAAGTGTGTGTGCTACGTGCAAATATACATATATGTATATATATTTATATATGTAGATATATATATATATATACATATATACATTTCTTACATATGTGTTTCACTATGCATGCTAATATACACATGTGCGTGCCTGTGTGCGAGTGTGTGTGAGTGTGAGAGTGTGACCTTCGCGCAATCATTTAGCTTGGCCGACTTTTGCCAATTATAAAGAAAGTAATAGAGCATCCTGGTCGTCGGCAGACCAGCCCGTCGTCCATCGTCCGTCGTGACCACTGTGCGATGGCAGCGCTGCCAGCTGCTCAATTGTTGGTTGCAGTTGCTGCCAAAGCACATTAAATGGCAACACTCTGGCATTTGATTATGCTGCGACTTAATTAGATTCCGCAGCCACCTGAGAGAGCTTTTAGCAGGGCAGCAACAGCAGCAACAAGCGCATACACTAATGAACTCTACTTATGCTTTGCTTTATAGTTGACAACACCAACACCAACAACGACAACATCAATAACAGCCGCTCTGTGTTAATAGAAGACGCCACGTTCTTTATTGTAAACAAGTCTAGTCAACAAACAGACCAAATGAGCGCACACTCCAGTTAAACCGAGCAGCACAAACCAAATAATCAAACACGACACACACACGCACACATATACACCCACCCACACACATACACACACAGATAGGTCATCAAGATGCGCGTGGTGGCAATGGTGAGTGGCGGCAAGGATAGCTGCTACAACATGATGCAGTGCGTCGCCGAGGGTCACGAAATTGTCGCACTTGCCAATTTGCATCCCAAGGATAGAGGTAATTGCCGATTCGCATACGAGTATATCTCTAGCTTATAGTTAACTCAATTTCTGGCCACTCTAGATGAGCTGGACAGCTTTATGTATCAAACAGTTGGCCACATGGGCATTGAGATACTCGCCAGTGCCATGGGCCTGCCTCTGTATAGGCGCGAGACCAAGGGCAAGAGCTTACAGACCGGCAAACAATATGTGCCCACCGATGATGATGAAGTCGAGGATCTCTACAGTTTGCTGGAAACGTGCAAGGTAAGGCCAAGCCACAAGGAAGACCAATAAATTATTTATAGAGATATATGATTGTGAACATGTATGTATGTGTGTGTTTGGTTGAGTTGGAAAGATTGAGGTTAGAGATTAGCGATTATCGATGCAAATAGCTGACGAATGACGCTAGTGATGACGCTCACCTTTATACCCTGTAGTGCAGTGTGATAGAGGGCATATAAGTATAAGGAACTACTAAGCTTAGCTAATTTATAATCTATCTTAAAGAAATCAAAGAACATTTCAAATGAAATTCAAGAAATTCCACAAAGATACTAAAGATTCTATAGAAACATATATCATGTTACCTTATTACAGGGTATTTGCTGGTGCAGCTTGTCTGTGTGGCCCATGGAAACCTTTGTTGATTGTCTGTAAAAATGTCCTTGAACAAGTTTACGCCCCACCAAACAATTCGAATATAAATTATAATTGCGGAAATTAGTTACACAGTGGGCAAATCGTTTAATCTTATCAAAAATGCCGACAAGCACGTGAACTATGTAGGGCTAGAAGTATATGTATTATATACAATATATTGTACATATATAAATTGATTAGAGCACTCGCTCGATGGCAAAGTACTTGAACTTTAAAGATGCGCCACAGCCAAATGATGCCATAACTAAGTGGGTCATAAATCGAATAACTATTTGATTCATGGCCAAAATAAAAATGAAGTAGAAGCAGGCCTAATTTCACTCTGCTCATAGAGTGTTGCACTTTGAATTGTTTCCACTTGATTGGTTTAGGGTCGTAACTCAGAATCTGTTTGATATATTGGCCTAAAATTTGATATGGGGGCACTTCATAATAATATGTCAAGCTAAATTAAATGAAGCATATGAACAAATAAGATATTCGACTACAGATTATAGCTATATCATAATATGATATATTAAAGTTGGAATTAGTTTGAGCTGAATACGAGTGGAATGCATAGAGAGATATGTATAAAGAAACAGATAATGCTATCTATACCTAACCAAATTTATGATTCTGAATTGCATTAAAAACCATGAAAAAACATCGGTAATGGCCAACTGCTGAATACTTATTCACAGTCAAAAATAATAGAGGATGTCAACAGTGTTTGTGTTTCTATCTCTAAAACTATCAATACAGTTTTTACCAATTTACCACGGCCTAATGAACTTAGATAGATCCACCATATATTTTTTTGTGTTGCCTATGACAGTAATACATTCCAAATATCAGCTCTCATTCAGACATTTCACAAAACCCATATGCTCATTTTACTGTCGTGAATGAGTATGCAAAAACTTTTTTCCCTGGTTTATATAATCAACAATTTGAAAACTATTTAAAGTACTGCAATGAAATTTAGTGTATGATATTCAAAAATAAAATGAATTTGATAAGAACTAAATAGATACATATGTTTATAATATTACATAATATCTATATACATATATATTTGATAATTTGTATTTGAAAAAAGGAAAAGAAAAGAAATAGAATCATTTGTACTATTACATGCATTACATTATGATAGCATCGTCTATAAAAACTATTTATATATGTACATATATACAAACAGATTCATTTATCTAGAGACTAGTTTTATTTAAAGACATTTCGCGTTGCGTTCCATTTGACAGCACGAACTAAACGTGGAGGCGGTTGCTGTTGGTGCCATATTGTCGGATTATCAGCGGGTGCGCGTGGAGAACGTCTGCAGCCGGCTGAACCTGATATCCCTGGCCTATTTGTGGAGGAGAGATCAGACTGAACTGCTGCAGGAGATGATTGACTGTCAGGTGCACGCCATTATCATCAAGGTAAACCGAATGATGCACTCATCATGATCCATCTCATTCAGTTGAGCTCTGCCCATTTCCATTCATTTCCATAGGTGGCCGCATTGGGCCTGGTGCCGGATCGTCATTTGGGCAAATCGTTGCGTGAGATGCAAACGCATCTGCTGAAGATGCGGGACAAGTATGGATTGAATGTGTGCGGCGAGGGTGGGGAATATGAGACATTCACGCTGGACTGTCCGCTGTTCAAGCAGCGCATCGTGGTCGAGGATATACAGACGATAATTAGCAGCGCGGATCCCATCTGTCCCGTTGGCTACATTAACTTTACGAAGCTATCGCTGCAGCCGAAGGAGCCAAATGCCGGCGGCGATGTGGTCTTTGTGAAGAAGTCCCTCGACTACATAACCGATCTCAATGAGTCCACGTACAGCGATCTGAGCGATCCGGACTTCAGTGAAACGGAACTGGAGCTGATTGAGAAGGAGACGCGTCTGCGCGAATCGCTCAGCCAGAACGAGCTAATATCGCGCAGCAATTCGTTCGGCCGGCACTTGGCCACATCATCGTCCTCGCCGATACCCATTGTAACGAAGAGCGCCAGCGTCGACGAGCCCATACCGACGGCCAGCTGCATAACGGGCAGCGCTTCGCTGCTGCTGCTCGGGAATGCGAATGCGAATGCGAATCAGTCGACCTCCGCATCCGCATCCGCACTGGCATTGGGCGGGACAGGCGGCGTAGGCGGCGCATTGCAGGCGAACAGCTGCTGCGGCTTCGGCAGCTCCCATCCATTGGGTAGCAGCACGGCCGCCGTGTGCGGCTCGCTGTCGCTGGCCATCTCCTCGCTTGGGCTGAGCACCACGCAGTGCAACAATAATGCGGCGACGACGACGATGCCAACGGGTCTCACCCAGCCGCCCAGTCCCATGAAATACGAGCGGGAATTCCGTCCTCTGGCCAACCAGGCCAGGGCGGCCATCAATGCCAAGGGCTGGATGTGGCTGGCGGGCATACAGGGTAACCAGCAGCACTTACAGACACTAACCCATAATCGATACGCAATATCCAGATGGCACCGTTACTCATGTTCGCTTGTCTCTCTCCCTCTCGTTGTCTCTACTAGGATGCGCCGCCAGCATGGAGCTGGGCATGCAACAGGCGTTGACTACGCTGCGCGACCTGTGCACCAGCAATGGCTACGAGCTGCAGGACCTGTGCTTCACCACGCTCTACGTGAGATCCATAGCCGAGTATCCCGCTCTCAACAGCATCTATTTGCAATCGTTTGGCTTTCACAATCCACCGACGCGAGTCTGTGTCGAGTGCCCGCTGCCGGATGACTGTCATGTGGTCATGGAGGCCATTGCGCACCGAGCGCCTGCCAACCACAGTGGCGACGATAGCGAGGAGACGCAGCTGCTGCTCAATGGCCGTCGCAATACGATGCATGTCCAGGGCATATCCCATTGGGCGCCAGCCAACATCGGACCCTACAGTCAGTCCACACGAGTGAGTCACACAAAGAGACAGACAGATGAGAGAGAAAGAGAGAGAGACGAATGGAGTGTGAAACTAATTTCTGTTCGCTTTTGCAGATTGGCGACATCACCTACATCTCGGGCCAAATTGCCCTCGTCCCGGGCAGCATGACAATCATTGAGGGCGGCATTCGGCCCCAATGCAAACTCGCATTGCGTCACATCAGTCGCATTGCCAAGGCAATGAATGCCCAGGGCCAGCTGCGCGATGTCGTCCATGGCATTTGCTTTGTCACCCATCCCGCCTTCATTGGCGAGGCGCGACGGCAGTGGGAGCGACGCACCACGAATGCCATCATGGATTATATTGTGCTGCCGGCGCTGCCTCGCGAGGCCCTCGTCGAGTGGCAGGTGTGGGCGCACACCCACAATGATCGTTTCGACTGTAAGTGGTTTAAGCACGCTCCGAGCCATAGGCATTGAAATTTATATTGAGCTTGAACTGGAAATGCAGTTTCTATATTAAAATATTTTATATGTAGTATATATGTGTATTTAAATCAATCTTGTCACAGCCCTATCATAGGAATTGTAATCTGTATTGAGCTTGAGAACATAGTACGAATTAGAAATGTAGATGATATATTTTTTGTATATATATATATATAAGCCAATCTTGTTAGAGCCTTGTCATAGACATTGCAATATCTACTAAGCTAGTCCCAGTTAGAAATGTAGATTAATGATAATAATAGATTATAGATTATGTATCATATCATAGGCATTGAAATTTGTATTGAGCATAGTCTGAGAATAGAATACTCTTATTGTATGTGTATATAGATCATTGTTGCATGGTAAATGTGATAGGCTTGTATTAAGCTATTCAGAAATTTAGTTTATTTTTTATGTTAGTAGAATCTCATAGCCATATCATAAGCATTGCAAGTTGTATTAGGCCTGAGCATAGTATTAAATGATAATGATAATTGATTATGCATATTATTATATGCGTATATATAAACCAATCATATCATAGCAATTTACCAAAGATTATGTATGTTTATTATTTATGTCTTCAGTTGCAATGCGTTTAATTATAGTTGCTTATTATGTATATATATGATGCATATTTATATAGAAATTACTTCGTAAGTAAGTAAGAAGAAGAAACTTGAACATACATTGAAGAACTAGAAATTTCTTTTAAATTCAACGTAATCTTGAAGAACGAGAACTTTGATTTATAGTATTGATAACTGATTTGCGTATACCTATCTTATCACATAGTCATATAACACAGTTCATTAAGCTTGTGTTATATATATGAGTTATGTGCATATTGTATATTATAAACATGTTGGCTCAGAGAGCTGATTTCAAATTGCAGGAAAGACACTTCAAGATTGTAAGCATTCAAGCCTCAATTGTTGTTTGCCAAATATTTAATGATTTCAATTCCTATTTAATTGTCTTCGGTTTACTCTTTCAGACGAGGAGACTGGCTGTTCGGTTAGCGATTATACCATCTCGATACGACGTCGCTGGAACTACGAGAACAATTGTGCGGCCATTGTTTGCTATGTGGCAACTGGCTTGGCCTCATCCACCACACAGTTGACGCAGCTGAGCGACGACGTGCTGGGCAACCATTACCGGCTGGCCCAGAGCCTCAGCGCTGAGAATCTGGACGAGATACTCACCTATATTGTGAATCGGCTGCTGAAGGACTATCCATTGGCCAAGCGGCAACAGCAGCAGCAGCAGCAGCAACAACATCTACTATTGCAGCGTGAAGCTGAGGAGCAGACGGCGCTTAACACTGCCACGCCCACCGAGCCAATGTCACTGCCACTGCAGCCCGGCGGCGCTGGGGATCAACAGCAGGGGGCAACAGCAGCTGCGTCCACATTGCCAGCGATACACCTGAAGCTGTTCTATCAGGTGAACGCCGCCCCGCCCACGGATCTGCTGTTGCAGGCGTTGCACGACTTCCGCCACAAATGCCAAGAAATGGCAGCGATAGTGTATACGGTACTTCCGGCGTGCAGCCTACACAATTTCAGTACGTTCCTGTCCATATGCGGAGTGCGGCACGAGTGAAGAGAGCGTAAAGCGAAGAGCGATGCGAGAGTGGGAGAGAGATAGAGATAGAGAAAGTTTAAAGCAAGCACGCACACACAGACACACATTCACACACACAGACACACACACACACACACACACACACAAAACACAAAGAACGCTAAACTAAGAATGCAGGCGTAGGCACGCCCATTTGTTGATATTGTTAACTAGCCTGTATATCTTATAAACTATATATATATATATATTTACTACAACTATTTACAAATGCAAAGCCAGTCAATGAGATTCTAGTTATTTACCAATTGTTTCGGACCAATAACTATCACAACAACAACAACAAGAACAAAAACAACTGCAACTATTTTATGGCAACTCAAAGCGTTTCAAAACATTTAAAGAAGAAAACACCAAATCTTAAACTTAAACAATTTACCACGAGCCACTAAAAGGAAAAGCAAAAACGAAACTCGAATTAAAATTTAAAGTTTGAAACAAGAAGAAGAAAAAAAAACATAATTTTTATGCACTGAACTTAAGTCCAAAATGTAAAACTGTAAAACAGTTAGCTATTAACTTTTATCACTAACTGTACTCGTCTAACTGTTTTTTCGATGTGCTTCTCATGATTTATTTTTTGTCTCTCTCTCTTTCCCTTTAATTTAACTCAACTTTTTGAATGAGATTAGCTCAGTTTTTTGACCAAAACTTAGCTTTTACAAAGAAAAAGAAGAAAAAATGAATATGAAGAGAGAAAAAGAGAAACAGCAACAATTGTAATTTAAATATTTATATAGCGAAATGCGCTAATTTGTTTTTTTACTTTTAATTATTTTTGAAAATTTATTAATAATACCCCTATGCCATATAAGATTGTTTTTTAACTCATTTTTTAATGCAAACTATAAATAACGTCACAATTTTGCCTAGTTGCCTTTATATGTATATATATGTATCTATGTATGTATAAAGATATCGCAAGCTAAATAGTCCATTGAGTCTGGCTTAGATTCGGCCAGATGATAAACCCAATCTCAGAAGCTTAGCGAACTTTTATCTCCCCCAGGCCCCTCCACCCTTCGTCCCATTTAGTCAGTGTAAACAAATTGTTAATATTCAATTCAATTGACATATAGCACGAAAAGTTGAAGTCAACTTTTGGTAAAACTCAATTGTATGTTGGACGATTATTAAATGCTATTATTGTTATGAAAAAAAAATTATAAAAAGAAAAAAAAAAAACAAAAACAAAAAAACAAAACCAAAACAAAATGGAAAAAAAGATATTGATATCGATTGTGTGTCATTAAACATTCATAAAACTAAATCAAACAAAATATGGGCGTTTCTTTTGCTTATCTGCAATCATGAAATTTCGAGATTCATCTCGACTGACGGTACTTTATGGTGTTTCATACAGAATGCATGCGAGCATATACTGGATAGACCTGCGATTCAAACCATTGCGCCAAGTACACGTCACTGTTTGCCAAAAAAGAAAACAAAAAATTATTTTTACCAGAGCAACATGTATTTGAAAATGCAGCGAGAGAGAGAGTGAATGAGAGTGCGCGCTCTTTCAGTCGGCGTCATCAGCCTTGATAATGACGAAATGAGCGCAACAAACAAAAAACAACTAAGCAAAGCAGAGTAAAGCTTTTGACAACACATTCTCTCTTTTCAGCGCGGGCCAATCAGCGATTGCGGTCAGTCTAACGAAACACCAATCAGAATTGCACCAGACGCTGACGTGGTCGACACGTCAGAGCGTAAACAACGCGGGCAAATAAATAGCCCGGCATTTCAGAGAGCGACCAACAGTTTCCAAACAGACAGCAAAGAAGTAACAAATCGGTATATAGAAAAACGCCACTCCGTTGGAATACAAAATACACTACGTACAAGCAACAATAAGAGGAATATACATTTTTTTTTTAATATTCTTATATATAAACAAATTCTGTGACTGTGAAACCGTGTACAAAAGTAATTAATAATCGAAGCCAAAAAAGAAAGACAAAGCATCAAAGTGACAAAATACTTATATTTAAATAAGTTAATTTTGTATGAAGTGCTCAAAATTAGTTTAAGTTAGAAAAAGTAAGTATTTAAAAATCAGTTTGAAAGCTAACAATCGATAACATTTTAAGTGCCTAGAGCTTTGCAACTCTGCAGCAAAGTTAACACTGACGTGTCTTTGTACACCGTCGCATGTGTGTGTGTATGTGTGTGCGACCGAAATGAAAGCGCCGGCCGAAAGCATTCAGCAATATTCTTTCAGTACTGTTTCAAACGTCAAGAGAGCAAATTTAAGAAAGAAAAAAGTAAGCTTTTAATAAGTCAAATTTCAAGTGGTAAATTAAATAAAACCTCATTAAGCATTCAATCGAATGCAAGCTATCAAGGTCTTTCCCACCGGACTCATTCAGAAGAATAAAAATGAAATTTAAAGGCATTGATATAGGCAAAGCTAATCCCCATGTGTGGGGTTGTTGCCGAAGTCGCCATGTTGGCAATGTGGCTCCAAAATTGTCTGATTTTAGGGAACAAAATTCAAGAGTATAGGCGAAGCACATGTAGTGGGTGCAACGGCATGCGTGCAAGACAACATTTAATATTAATACATATATTGTGTGTCTGAGTTTAACGACGTCACAGAGTGGGGCCAACTCCCAGGCCCCCTTGGCTCCCCCTGGCATGACGTGTAGCGCGAAGCACTGGCCGATGTCAAGGCGTGCATAATTAACATACATATGTATATTGTTGAATGGACCGTAGCAGAAATTAACATAGCATCTCATTCATTTGCCAATTGGTAACAAAGTTCATTCACATTCGAACCGGCCGGCTGCAATATGCAATATGCTTATGTATGTACTATACATATATACATACATACGCATATGAGGAATATTTTCAATTTCTAGAACTTGGCCACACAGCTGTGAACTTCTTGCGCTGCCACCACGCTGCATTATTATCTGCTTCCGTTGCTGACATGGCAGCACTTGATTTAAATCAAGGCGATAACAAATAATTGCAATATCAAAATAATAACTCAATTTAAATACAAACACACTCACACGCACACACACACAGACCGACAGACAGTATAGCACAGTATATATAGATATGCGCCTGCGCCGACTTATCGGTGGCTGCTGCTGCTGCTGCTGCTGCTGGCAGACGTCTCTGCATTCTAGCAGCTCTGGCACTCATTCAATCAGCTTTGTACACGTCATTTCAAAAAACAAAGATCCCCAAGCGTTATTCGGTTCCATAGCTAACAAAAGTACACGTCGTCAGAAAAGCATAAAGGGCGATTACTGACTTAGTTTATACATAGTTTTTCGGGCAAAAACATAAAACGTGAGTAAAGCGAACCAAACTAACACAGCTGTGCAAATTGATGGCGTTTGCTGCCGGCAGAAGACGCCGACGTTCGCCCCAACTTTCACCGGACGGGGCGTGTGAGTGTGCCTGTGTATGTGTGAATTGTTTGAACTGCCATACAATTGCAATTGGATTTTCTTGTTTCGTTATTGGGCCACTTATTGCGTATGCAGAACTCGACGAGAATGACAATAAGAAATTTCTATAAAAAAATAATAGCTGAAGAGAGAAGTTCAGCAAAAGCAAAACCAGTTTTATTTTTTGTTCAGCTCTTGCACACTCATGTGAATGTAGCCGGCAACTGAATTTGTGCTCAACTAGAGAGCGAATTGTAGATAGGTAGAGAGAAAGAGAGAGTGTGAGTGAGAGTCTGTAGGTTTGAGCTTATGGCGGCAGCAGAAAGAACCAGAAAAATGTTACCACGTATACAAAAATTCTACAGCAGCGTTGGCAGAGCCGCGGCGTCGGTCAATGTCAGTGAGGCGAACTGAGCTGAGCAGAGCCGCGCCGGGGAGCATTAAACAGTTGTTAAACGTTTATCTGTCGAGCCAGACGTTTTGTGTTCACAGCTGCTATCTTCAGGTAGTTTTAGGTACGCGTTGGTTTGCCTTCATATGAAGCACATATAAAATATTTTAAGGCCGCTGCCATAAATTCTGTTAGGCTGTAACTTCAATGACTGTCAAAAGTAGCACACATAACAGTATTACCTGTTGCCAACGTCAGCGTTTCTTTTGTTCTGCCTACGCGCTCTCTTTCGCTTAACTCTCTCTCCCGCTTGACGCGTGTGTTGACGTGTACAAAAAAATGTCAAGCTAAGCTTGTGTTCCTTTAATTAATCATCAATTTTATCTTAATCTCGTTGCAGTTTTTTTTGTTTGGTGTCACAGACAGCATCAAAGCTAGTTAATAATACTTAATAAAACACTAGAAGAAAACTGCCACAATGAAGTTGTGCATATTACTGGCTGTTGTGGCCTTTGTAGGCCTGTCGCTCGGCGAGGAAAAGAAAGAGAAGGACAAGGAGCTAGGCACCGTTATTGGCATTGACCTGGGAACCACATACTCATGGTAAGTTTTGCGCCATTTCGCTTCGGGCGTTGCCAGATTGGGAAAGAATATTTTATTGGATTTCAATAATACCAAAAAATTAGAATACTATTGGAATTGCAAGTCAATTGGACTCAAATCGTTTTCTAGAATTTATAACCCAATTGGACGTCATTTTAAACAGCAATTTGAATCTTGTTGGAGTCGCACAACGTATTCTAATTGGGATGTGCAAATCTTATTCTACCATATTATTATATACAGTAATAAAAATAGACTCGATATTAATAAAGTTTTGTTTTTTGTTTGCAGCGTTGGCGTTTACAAAAATGGACGCGTTGAGATTATTGCCAACGATCAGGGTAATCGCATCACGCCTTCCTACGTCGCCTTCACAGCTGATGGCGAGCGTCTGATCGGTGATGCCGCTAAGAATCAGTTGACCACAAATCCAGAGAACACCGTCTTCGACGCGAAGCGTTTGATCGGCCGTGAATGGTCGGACACAAATGTGCAGCACGATATCAAATTCTTCCCATTCAAGGTGGTAGAGAAGAACTCCAAGCCACACATTAGCGTTGACACATCCCAGGGCGCCAAGATCTTTGCCCCCGAGGAGATCTCTGCCATGGTTCTCGGCAAAATGAAGGAGACGGCCGAAGCCTACCTGGGCAAAAAGGTCACCCACGCCGTCGTCACTGTGCCCGCCTACTTCAACGATGCCCAGCGACAGGCGACAAAGGATGCTGGCGTCATTGCCGGCCTGCAGGTGATGCGCATCATCAACGAACCGACCGCAGCTGCCATTGCCTACGGCCTGGACAAGAAGGAGGGCGAGAAGAACGTGCTGGTCTTCGATTTGGGCGGCGGTACCTTCGATGTCTCCCTGCTGACCATCGACAACGGCGTCTTCGAGGTGGTGGCCACCAACGGCGACACTCACTTGGGCGGTGAGGACTTCGATCAGCGTGTCATGGACCACTTCATCAAGTTGTACAAGAAGAAGAAGGGCAAGGACATCCGCAAGGACAATCGTGCCGTCCAGAAGCTGCGTCGTGAGGTCGAGAAGGCTAAGCGTGCCCTCTCCGGCTCCCACCAAGTCCGCATTGAAATTGAGTCCTTCTTCGAGGGTGATGACTTCTCCGAGACGCTGACCCGTGCCAAGTTCGAGGAGCTGAATCTGGATCTGTTCCGTTCGACTCTGAAGCCCGTCCAGAAGGTGTTGGAGGATGCGGACATGAACAAAAAGGACGTGCACGAGATTGTGCTTGTTGGCGGCTCTACTCGTATTCCCAAGGTCCAGCAGCTCGTTAAGGACTTCTTTGGCGGCAAGGAACCATCCCGTGGCATCAACCCCGATGAAGCCGTTGCCTACGGTGCCGCCGTTCAGGCTGGCGTTCTCTCCGGCGAACAGGACACCGATGCCATCGTCTTGCTCGATGTCAATCCATTGACCATGGGTATTGAGACCGTTGGCGGCGTGATGACCAAGCTGATCCCGCGCAACACAGTCATCCCCACCAAGAAGTCGCAAGTGTTCTCCACGGCCTCCGACAACCAGCACACCGTCACCATCCAGGTGTATGAGGGCGAGCGTCCCATGACCAAGGACAACCATTTGCTGGGCAAATTCGATCTGACTGGCATTCCCCCAGCGCCACGTGGCATTCCCCAGATCGAGGTTTCCTTTGAGATCGACGCCAACGGTATTCTGCAGGTGAGCGCTGAGGACAAGGGCACCGGCAACAAGGAGAAGATCGTGATCACCAACGACCAGAACCGCCTTACGCCCGAGGACATCGATCGCATGATCCACGATGCCGAGAAGTTCGCCGATGAGGACAAGAAGCTGAAGGAGCGCGTCGAGTCGCGCAACGAGCTGGAATCGTATGCGTACAGCCTGAAGAACCAAATCGGCGACAAGGAGAAATTGGGCGCCAAGCTCAGCGAGGACGAGAAGACCAAGCTGGAGTCGGCCATCGATGAGTCGATCAAGTGGCTCGAACAGAACCCAGACGCCGATCCCGAGGAGTACAAGAAGCAGAAGAAGGATCTGGAGGCTATCGTGCAACCGGTGATTGCCAAGCTCTACCAGGGCACAGGCGGTGCTCCCCCACCAGAGGGCGACTCTGGCGACGATCTCAAGGATGAGCTGTAAGGCGTCCTCGAGTCGAGCAACTTGTCCGGAATGGATTATATATAAATAGTTTTCGCAGTAGAAGTAAATCAGACTGATTAAACAATTAAAATGAGAACTTAATCGCAAGCAACAACACAACAACCGCAACAACAACAACAACAATAGGAATGCAAACCCCAAAGCAAAAAATGGAATGGAGATACGGAAATTATGAAGAATAAGAATTCTGAAACTAGTTTTTGCTCGCAATTTCTTAAACCTCACGCTAAATTCCTAGTAGCCCAAAATTTGTTTAGCAATTTTTTTTTTTTTTTTTTTTTTTTTTAATTTTTAGTGTGATCTTAAAGTATTTCTTTCGACCCTGGCAAAGCACTATAGCAGGAGAGCGAATGAGAGATATAGAAAAAGGGAGAAGAAACGAAAAAGAGAGTTCATTTAGAAAAAGAAGACAGTGTGTTGTGTGTTCCTCCTTCAAAGCCCATAAATAAGGCCAATGGCCGATAGTAAACAGTGAAAAGAAAAATGATATAAGCAAAAAATGAAACACACACACAATATATATAACTGTATATTTTTTGATAATGAGGAATCACAAATCATATAGGTTAGCCTACGAGTTATAATCTTATTAAGAACTAAAAAGAAAAAAAGAAAAAAGGAATGAAAAAACAATAAAAAATTAATACAAGTATGAGAGAAAATGTTATATGTATAAGAGTGCGTAACTAGAGCTAGAGACAGACAGTGAGATGATGAGCGGGACAAAAATCAAGAGTGCTGCGGGGCAATTAGAAAACGAATATAAAGAGGATAAAAATGTTTAATTGAAATTCAGGCAGAGCAAAAATAAATGCAAGAAAACATAAAACAAAATTAATAATAATAATGGATTCTTCGATTTTAAGAAGAACCTTATAATTTATTTAAAAATAAAAATAAATACAAAAACTATTTATACAAACCTTTTCATTTCCACTTGGCCAGCCCAGCAAAGAAATCATTGCATACAAACCTCTTCTATCTTATCTGTAAAGTACGAGAAATTTCTCAATGATATCTCAAAAATTGTCGTTAGGTCTGTTTTGTTTTTAAATATTTATTCTTTTATTTTCTGCTCTTGTTTTTGTTTTGCGAATTTCATATTCCTTGCGCATTCAGATTTCAGTTTGTTCAGGCTTTACTTTCTTAGTTTTTATTTCTTTATTTTTTGGAGCACTTCGCATTGCACTTTTACCGATTCGCATATATGTATATGTGTGTATATATATGTGTGTTTGTTTGTTTGTTTGTATACATGTACATATATTTAGTACGATTCAGTTTTCAGTTACTGCATTACGAGTAATCTTAATTATCTTAAATACATTAAAAAAATACATAAAATATTTGTTTTGTTTAATTCTTTAAATTGTATATAAATAAGCTAACGGTATATTTATATTTTTGTTTTTTTTATTGTGTACATATGTATTTCTCTATATACTTATATACGTATGCACTCTCAGATATCGAAATGCGAAACGACTTCGACTTTTCGACAGTTCGGCTCACTTAGTTGTTGTTGTTGTTGCTGCTGCTGTTGGGTTGTTACTGTAACGGTTTCTGGCTCTGCGGTTCCCTTTTAGGCACATTTTCTAATGATTCTGCTCAAGCTAACAAGTTTTGAAATTAAATGAAAAAGTGTGGTGGCAACGCCACGTTGCCAGGCTGGCAGCACCTCACGGCAAGGCCACTCGATAAATTAATAAAGTGCTTAATAGATTTATCGATCAATCACACCAATCTGTCGCGCATCGCATATCAAGCTGGCAACTCTCCCGCCATTCACATTTAACGCGAAGATCATTTGACAAGCGCATCAAACTGTTAACTTAACGACACAAACAATAGTAAATGGGCCTAACGTCTCAATTGCTAATTATTCTGTCATTTCGCTCTGCTAATAGGGGACTGCGTGTGTGTGTGTGTGTACAGGTGCTAGGTAGTAGATGGGGATCAATTGGGCACTTGACTAAATATTTAAATCTATGCTAGATTTTAGCCGCTCACTTAGTAAATAAAATGCAAAGAATAAAATTGAATCGTATGCGCCCGATGCGTGCACGTACCAGGGCTGCCAAAGTTGAGTTTTCATTTTCTTCTTTAAGTCGTGTGTCAGTATGTGTATTTGTTGTGTGTGTCCCAGTCTCTGTGTGATAATGTGTGTGTGTGTGTGTTGTAGCTGCTTTTTGACGTCGAAACTTCAGTTTTTCGCACAAGCCACGGATTGTATAGTTGGTCCTTTCTTAGAGGGGCGGGCGGGGATGACATTCCTCAACGGCGTTGCTATAGCTGTTGCTTCTGCTTGTGTCTATATATATATATATGTGTGTGTATTAGTGTATATGTAGTCTGTGTATGTGTTTGTGTAGGATTTTTCTTGTAACGGCCGCTGTAGTGCTGCACTTTTAGATGCGCTTTGGAATCGTATCGATGGCATTGTTTTCAGGCTCTTCGTCCTTTGGTGGCTGACCGCGCTGCTGTTGCCGCCAATTTCAATACGAGTGAGAGAGAGAGAGCAAGCGAGTGCAATGCGCGCGCGCGGCCCCCATTGGGTATAGTTCGAAGTTCCGAGTTCAAATCGGTATATGCGAAGAGTTGCCAGAGTTTTGTCACCAATTTGCGCGCAACAAGAACAAAGATACAAAGAAAGAAAGACACAATGAAAGAGAGAAAAATAAAACGTAAAACGAAAGTAATCAAGAAAGCAGAAGTAATACGAAGAACTATGTATGTATGTACATATGTATATACATATCTATATATAACTATATCGAAATTGTGAATTGGGAGTAAAATAAATATCGTACATTATGTATGTACATTGTATTATGTATGTATGTGCATGAGAACGTAATTGTTGTCTTTGTCTTGCATACAAAATGGGCCATTTGCAGTCTTTTTGATTTTGTCTTTTCTTTTTTCTGATTTCGTTTTAATGCCAATTTGCAATGAAATCATGAGGATCTTAAGGAACGGCACAACTTTATTGTGTAGGTGTATAGGTGTGACTGTGTGTGTGTACATATGGTCGTCGACCTTACGTATTCAACCCAAACAGCCCGTGTATATGACACACTCATACAGTGTGCAGTGCAGTTGATAAGGAGAGTGTGTGCGTAAGTACGTATGGCTCGGCTGAATGTGTGCGTGTGAGAGTGTGGGTGAGTGAGTGCTTGTGTTAAGAGCCAAGTTTGTGTAAGTATGTACATATGTGTGCATTTACATACACATTTGTATTTAATGTAAGTGATGTAAAAGTATTGTGTAACTTACAATAAAAAAAGGCGATTTGTGCTTGATTTTATTAAATTTTCTTCTATTTTTTTTTGGTTTTTATCAAGTCATCTTTTACATTCGCAAACAAAATATATAAAGAGCTTTCAATTAAAGAAAAAAAGATAGTTGCAAAGTAAATATATGTGTGCGTATTAATGTATATATGCATGTAGAGAAAGCAGACAAAATGTAAGTTAAACCAAATCTGTGACTCAAGCGCATCTATTAGCAGCTAGCTTTTGTCCGTCATTGGCACTTTCTTAGCCTGATGGTCAAAGTGAAATGGCATTAGTAGTAGCAGATCGTCATTTAGCTAGCAATATGAGTGAGAAGAGCACAACAGCTTTAATTGGCTAACTACTCAGCCTCTGCCTCGGCCTCAGGATCGGGACGACTCAAAATCTCCTGACAGAGCGCAATGTAGTCCTAGATTTAGTTACGGTATATATATAAAATGTATAACATAGCCAGAGAGGAGAGAGATAATTGATAAGAAATAAAAAAAAAAAGTTTAATAGCAATATTAGCCCATTAAACACTGAACATTCAAGTAGTCAATAGAGCCCGCACATCAAATCACATGAAACACAATGCGAATGAGAATAAATATTACATAACATACAATATGTAGTATTTCTATATACATGGTATATGTATAGGCATTTGGCAAACACAAAGAGTAAGCTATGATCAGTGATCGATGATCGTTGGTTGTGTGTGGCCTAGTCTGTACATTAACATATTACAGGGTATTTCGATTATAAAAATGATAGACTGCGAGAATTGTATTAAATATCAGTTTTGTTTTATTTTAGTTATTGTTATTATACTCTTCTTGTTCATTTCATTATTATTTTTTTTTTTTTCGTTTTTGTATTTCTTTAAATTAATTGTAAACAGTTTTTTCTTTATGGTATGCACTCGTCAACATTTTAACGTTCTTTACGCACTTGGCCTTTGTATCAATTTCTACATATACAACATATATATATGCATATATATTTTATTGCTAATTTGCTTAAAATTTTTTCTCAACTTCATTATTATTATTTTCCTTTGTTTTTCTTACTTGGGCATGTAAATCTCTTTAAAAACTGACAAAAGAAAGTTTGGATAATAAACAATTTGCCACATATGTATTTCAATGGAAAAATATATGTATATAGATATAGATATATTTTTATATTGCAAAATAGGGCTTCATAGAATTTTTGCATCTAATCGAATAACAAACAAAAATCTTTTAGCTTATGAACTCTTAGAAACTAAACCTAAATGCAATAAAAAAAAAAAAAAAAATTTAAAAATAAAAATCAAACACACGCACACACAACTGAACACACTTGCAGAACCTAGGGTATCTTTCAAGTCGTGGCATACACAAATATATAAATCATGTGACTACTTTTGCTAAATAAATTATTTACGTTAAAAGTTTATCAACAATCGACACAAAAAAAGTTTAATATCGTTAAAATAACATTCTGCAAGGGTATTCAAAAGTCAGCTAGCCGTACTTTAATTAACTTCCTTTTCGTTTTCACCTCCCACTGACTGATGGCTTAAGCCAAAGATGCGACCATTTTAAATTTGTTTATATATATATAAATATATGTATATATTGTATATAATCTGTAACTATACTATATGTTTCTTTCTTTTTGTATTTTTATTTATTTATTTATAGGCAAAATCAATATAAACAATTTGTGCGCTGTTATTGCTGCTATTGCTTTTGCGAATGATTTTATTGGGGGCAGAGGCGCGTCTGTATGTACATATGTATCTGTGTATGTGTATGTGTGTGTGGGTGTGTTTGTGTGTATGCCTACGTGTGCATACAGTTGCATATATTAGTTTTTCTCTCTCCCTCTTTATGTGTCCACTCCGTTTTATTAGAGCTCAATCCTTTTGTCTCTGTGTGTTTGTGTGGGTGTGCCGTCTAACTGCTGCTTGTTAACTTGCTCCCGCTGCTTTGCTGCTTCACTCTCTGTATCTTGGGTCTTGCTCTGTCTTGATCAGTGTACATAAATTTGGAATTGCTGTTGCTGCTGTCACTTCCTCTGCCCGCGTCTAAACATTGAAACTCCTTTCGGCTCCTTTGCTTCTTGGTTGGCTTTTGTATGTTTGTGTGTGTTTGTTTGTTTATATGTGTTTAGTGTCTGAGTGTGCATGATTTCTGACTTGCTTCTTCAGTGTCCTCAAGTTGGATTGCATAAGTTTTATTTGCATTTGTTTTTTTTTTTTTATTTATTTATTTTTTTTTTTTTTTTTGCGTGATTCATTTATTGTTTTTTTGTTTTCGTTTTTTCGTTTTGCTTTTCATAAGATTGATTGTTGTATTCAAAGTTTATTGCTTTCTAAGTTGGAATCTGTTACCGGTTCGGGATTCTGTGGATCAGCGTTTTTGTTATTAATACATTATTATATAAATTATAAAACGTTGATTTTATATAATTATGTTACTAAATATTTGAGTATGTATAATTGTAGCTGTATTGTGGCTGTTGTTTTTTGTTTGGAAGTACTTGGTTGCTTGAATCGTTGTATACATATATGGGCTAACAAAATGTTACTCTCTCGCTCTCTCCCACTTTCGCAGTGTATTTATTTATCATTTGTTCGCTCATATTAATAAATGAATTCTTTTTTTTTTTCAATCTATTATCTAACTGTGTTGTTTTGGTCTAGTGTTGCCACCTATTGTGTCCTGTTGTACAATATAAATTACGTGCGTTATGTAAAAGCAGATGTAAATACATATATGAAGAAAAAAAAAAAAAAAAAACAAACAAACAAAGGAAAGTAAAACAAATGCAAAGTACATGTGTATGAAACATATATATATAATATATATATGGTATTATAAAAAGGCTAAAAACTAAAGACAAGTTATTTATGTATATATCTGGTTGTTTTTTTTTTTTTTTTTTTTTTTTTTTTTTTTTTTAACATAATTATTTACTAATACATACTAAGTTAAAAACGACTGTTCGTGTGTTTGTGAATACGCGTGTTTAGAGTACATATATGAATCTGTGTGTGTGTGTGTGTGCGTGTGTGCAAAACAAAGAGAAACATACGAACAGCAAAACACAAGCGCATAATAATTTAATGATAAAAATCCCTCTAGGTAATGTGTGTGTGCTGATGTTTGTTTTGCTGCCTTCTGTCGTTGCATTTCTTCGATTACTTATATTACTAAATGCTAACATAAATAATATATATATATATATATATATATATATATACATACATGTATGCATATACACACGTATATATATACATATATATGCACATTTTTGATTGTGTCAACGACAAAAATTCGTTATGTTCGTTCTCATGAGCTTTTGTGTGAATGCGACATGTTTGATATCGATATCAATATCGATCAATTTTTGTATGGCCAAATGGGTACTGTGCGTGTGTATGTGTCTGTGATGGTGTGGGTGTTCCTTTAAGAATTCCTTTTCCGTACTCTATCATATAACTGTCATATTATTATAATTTTTGTTCCTTTTCATTGAAATTGTTGTTCTTTAAATACATTTTCTACTACTTTTTTCACTTCACTACGAATTTAGTTTATTATATATATATATATATTTTTGTTGTTTGTTTTATTATTATTATTTTTTTTTTTATATATATATAAACGCATTTTTTTTTTCTTTTTTTTTAACTTTTATTTTGTATAAATGATTTTTCCTTCTGGCGCTCAAAACCTTCGTAGTTAGGGTCTGTAGCTGTCGGTTCTCTTCCGTTGTAACTATGTCTCCCGTTTCTTTATAATCAATCATATATATATATACGCAATGTTTTGGATTTGTTGTGTATGTGTGTGGTATGCATGTGTGTGTGTTTTTTTTTTTTTTTATTTATTTATTAGTTTTTCTATACACAATGTTTTTGTATGGGGAAGGTAATAAGGTAATGGATATTGATATCGATATTGATATTTTGATAACAATTATTGGTTTTATATCGATAGACAGTTAGCACGCAGCGATAGATCAGATCATAGATATTATTAGCAAAGCATAACACAGACACAGAGTCAATCACACGCACACAAACACATAGGCACATATATGCACATATACACACACGCAAACACACATGTGCGAATGCATATAAATATATATATATATATATACATATATAGAAATATATACATATATATATATATATATATATACATAGACATTGAATACGGTTCAGATTCAAGTTAGAATTGGTTGTCGTTCAGATAGATGACCATTAGGTATTTTGTGTTGTTGGTTTGTTGGTGGTTGGTGGTTGTATGTGTGGGGAGAGAAACAAATAAAAAAAATATATAGATATATAGATATATATATATATATATGTATATATATATGCTTAGTTGAAGGATTCTTTTTTTTATGTTATTGCATGTTTTCAAATGAATTTAATGTAATTTGTTGTTTGTTTTTGTTTTTAGTCAATAAAAAAAATTGTTAATAAAAAATTTTATTTTAAATTTACCGCTCGTAGTGGCATTTTGAAATTGGCTGCTGCCTGCAGCTGAATTTGATAAGCTAAGCTGTGAATTTTAAAGCCGTACAGACTGCATTATACAGGTAGATAGTTTATATATGGATATATATTGGCGGCAGGTGAGCATCGATCGTAGGCACATGGAATAGAAAGAGAAAGAGAAAACAATTAGCATATTTCGTAGATTTAAGAATATTCGTCTCAATGATAAGAGAACTCGCGAATAGCCAGTAAAACGTTTAAGGCTTAAGGCTGCCTTCGTGTAATGATAATCTCTCTTTTTATCTTTATCTCGTTTGTACAACTTCATTATAATCTCAGTTGACATATTAAAGATATTCAGATAAAGAGCAGAAGATTATTTAAAACAATCTTTGTAATAAGGAACAATAGTCCTGAATACAACTACACTAACGACAATAAAACGTTTAGGAATTTAGCTAACATTTCAGAGTTTGAGCTATATAATTCTCGTATATAGTAGGACATACATCTAATGACTAACTGCTGCTGAGCAATTAGTATATTTTGGGCTGATTCTCTAATAAACATACTAACAAAATGGATGAACTATATATTCTGCTTTGCTAATGGAATGGAAAGAGTTTTGGATGCTTACCGTGGAACAAATTGATTAGTAGGACGCTTTGGGCGATACTCGGGATGCACCATGAAGAGCATGTGTGGAAAACCAGTGCCAAAATAGGCGCCATCAGTGTGATGATGACGCGACGATTTTGGTGTATAAACATCAATGCACTTGGGACAATAGGTTTTCACCATTGCCTCGCCGGGTATATCCGACAGTCCTGAACACGATGCAAAGAAGAGCAACAAATATATACACATTAATATACAAACATATAGATATCCATCCATTATATCCAACTTAATGTACGTACCCAAAGGCAACATGGGCTGACTCTCACAATAGACACGTGGGCAATGTCCAAAATCGCCAGTTTGATATTTCTCAATCATTTGAGCGATGCCACGATTTGTTAATATATATCTAGCGTGTATGAGCCCATATAACATTTCAGCTGCTTGTTCGGTCATATCCGATTGCAATGGATTATCTTCAAGTTCATCCTCTAAAAAGTTCAGATGAATATTTGATCACAAATATTTTGCAAAGTTACCTAAAGCTTAGCGCTCTTACCCGGTTCCAGATCTAATATCATGTCCAAGGCTTGACGATAGTTGGGCACCTGCTCATTTAAACCAGTTAAATTGAACTTGTCCTGTATGTAATCCTCATCGACCTGCAATGTATAAACATATAATTAATTATAATCACAATCATCTAAATGTGATATCTTCGTTTAGCTGTTCAGATCGATCGCTGCTTAAGCAAAATACTTTTAGAACTCGATATTATTCTTGGTGTTCGATCCATTTCCAGTTAAAACCTAGCTCATTATAGCTACGTATTATTAACACTACTTCAGAATATCGTCGACATAATGCACTGTGATTGTATTACAGTCGAGTCGTCTATACTAAAGAATATTGATGAAGACTGTACTTTGTTGGCGGACGGCGGACAGCGGAGAGCGGTGCAGAGCAATTAGATTTCTAAAGTCTAGTATGTCTGATGTTTTCCTTAATGGAAATTGTTTTCAATTAATGCACTTTAGCGTGCCTCTACTGTAAACAGTCAATGCATATACAATGTATGCTTGGCGCTTCGCGATATCTCCGCCCATGGCTGTGGCTGAGTGCGCGCGCGCTCTTAGGTAACCGCATGGAACAAGGAAATGTTTGGGAATTACCAGATTAATAGTGTCCATATAGATATACATATAAATATATACATGCGCGTGTGTGTGTTAATATTATAGCTTACCTCGCAAAAGAACTCATTGCCGCGAAGTCCGCAGAACCAGGTAACCCAGGAGACTTCCTCGGAGCTGCTCATTTTGCTATGGAGAAGATATCGAGAGAAAGAGAGAGAAAGAAGAGAAGTTTCATAAATATTACAATCACATGCCAAGGACTTTCATTTTGGGTGGGGATGCGGAGGCAAATCGCCGCCTTTCCCACCGCCTCTGTGCCACCTACATTAAAGGAATTATTTTGCGAAATTTGACGGAATTATTTGTTGTTGAAAATAACCATAGAAGTTGTCGTTCCCCTACTGCTAGAAATGTGGGTGTGGGGGAGTAATCGAAATGAAGAGGGGGCAGCCAACGTCAAGAAACCTATGTATGTAACACCAACGCACATATATAAATATATAATATAATAATATTACTTATATATAATATTACTTATATATAATATATATATATATATAAATATATATATGTATATACACACACGCACACAGGGAAAAGTAAACGAATTGAATTTGTCCACGAGTTTTTCGACCGCGTCTCGATTTAAAGATTATTATGATTATTTGAGAGAAAATATATATGTATATAAACTGTTACAGTTATAGTTTATTGCTAGGGCCCGTAATGCATTGAACCAACTATTGCCACTGTATTTATATACATATATATATTTCTTGTTCGCTTGTTATTTCCAACGCACACACGATTGAACGGAAATTTGTACGCGTATTTTGACAAGCGCTCATACAAAATGTGCCGAGCATGAAGAAGAAGCACATACACATGAAGCAGCAGTAGCGCAGCAGCAGCAGCAAAGAAATTCAGAAAAAAGAGACACCGAGCGAGCAGTGAAATTCGTATGCCCGTGTGGAAATTAAGCACTCACTGATTGCACGTTCACAGTATGCATTCTTGTTGATAACACATATTCATTTTGTTGTAAATTTTTTTTTTTTTTTCTTATACGGTGGCAAATATAGTTAGTTAAATTTGCAGAAAAAATTGTTGATCGTTATTCACGAAATTGATTATAAACGCGTTGAGCATGTTCCAACTGGGTCTTAAGCAACAGCGCGCTTGGTATAAGCGGCACGACACAGACACACACGCACACGGTCACACACCGTATTAGATGATTTTTGCACTTGACTTGGAAATGCTGGCCATTAAGCTGCATTTTGCTTATCGCTTCATTTGCGTTGCGTAGGCACTTACCTTAATTTTCGCACAATTTTCAAAACACTTTTACTAATTAAAGCACTTTTTTCAATGCGAAAATTTAACAAGCGAGTTGCGAGTTGTCGGTTTTGCAATCGGTGTTAGGGATGATACAACTGTATCGACCTATCGATTGCGTCCAACAACAGTGCAGTCACCAAACTTTGTAAATTGAGTTAATCACTTTTGACATTCTCTGTGAATGTTCAAATCCAACAAATACCAGATTTGAACCATTCGTAATCAAAATACCAAGTACCTTGCCATGCTGCCAATTTGATGATTGTAAATGAAATCGTGAGCAAAAAATATTTTCGATGGATTTGTTTACAAAGTTTATGCGTTTTAATTTTTAGTTAGAAAGCTTTTGTTTTATGTCTACCGACTTGTAAGTTTTACGTGAAATGAAATGCTTTCATATATCTTTGCCTGCCGACAACTTTACGGAATAAGCAAAGCCTACTAGTTCAATGAACATCTCATTTTAGCTCACGCAAACGACACGAACACACAAACTCAAATGCGCACACATGTAAACAACACTGAACAACTTGCTATTTCACAAGGCGAGAGAATCGCGCGCGACTGTCAATATAATTGTAGTATGCTGGTATTTTTTATATATTTTTTTCTGTCATAAAATCCTAATCGAACATATGTAGTTGACAAATGGCTAAGCAGTGAACTAGCAGGCGCTGCAACAATAACAGACAAGCAACTAAATGTTGTAAGTTGCAAGGCTTGGAATTTTTTTGTTAGCTTTTTTTTTTGTTTTTGATCAAGTGGCAGTCTTCATTGAGATTCCGTCAGGAGAGCAACGTGCTAAACGAGTCTATTGCATTTTACCATCGACGGAATTAGTTTCACGCGCAAAAACAAAAAGTGCTGCAATAGACATTGCATATTCAGTGAATGTGCCTCAATTGTGGCAACGTAAACAGTAATCTACCAGCATTTTGCCAGCAACTTGAAGCACGCGACAAGAAGGAACAAATTTAATAATTTTCCACTGACAGTTTTGACAGTCCGGTCAGCAAAGCGGAAGGCAAGGTGAGTGGAGCAGAAAAAAAAAAACGAAAAGAACGAGAGGAAAAACCAAGAAAATAATACACAGCAATTAAACATTAAAAAAGTCAGTGTTACCAAAACTGAATAACAATAAAAGACTTGCGATTGTACATTTATTTATAACAGTACTTAGTAGCGGCAACTGCATTAACACCACAAACAAACCACAAAACAAACAAACAAACAAATACTTTGGACAATGAGCGTGGACACGTATGCGCCGAGCTCGGCGCTCTCCTTCTTGGATATGGATGACAATGAGCTTTTGCGCGGCGCCGATACGCAGCCGACACAGTATGATTATCGTGACTTTACCATGCCGTCCACAACGCAGAGCCAGACCCAGGGCGATCAGCTGGATTTGCAGGTGAGCTGCCAGGCCACGTGTGTTTGTATGAGTGTGTGCGCGCGCGTGTCTGTGTGTGTGAATGTGAATGTATAAATATACATATGAAATGCTATGAAATTTGGTCATCATATTGTAACTGTCAATTTCAGTCGCGCCGCGTAAGCGTGCAAAATAACGACATTAATCCACGATTGGCCTCTATCACCAACGATTTGGCCGACTTGCAATTCGAAGAGGAGGACGATGAGAACGGCGTCGGTGGCAATTCGGCATATGTCAAGGAGCTGCCGCCACATGCCTGTAAATATTGTGGCATTCACGATCCAGCCACCGTGGTCATGTGCAACAATTGCAAGAAGTGGTTCTGCAACGGTCGTGGCAGCACCTCTGGCTCGCACATTATCAATCATCTCGTGCGTGCCAAGCATCGTGAGGTGACCCTGCACGGCGACGGGCCACTGGGCGAGACCATACTGGAGTGCTATTCGTGCGGTGTACGCAATGTATTTGTCTTGGGCTTCATACCCGCCAAGGCGGATTCGGTGGTGGTGCTGCTGTGCCGTCAGCCGTGCGCCGCTCAGAACTCGCTGAAGGACATGAACTGGGATCAGGAGCAGTGGAAGCCACTCATAGCCGATCGCTGCTTTTTGCACTGGCTAGTGAAGCAGCCCAGCGAGCAGGGACAGCTGCGGGCACGTCAAATATCGGCAGCACAGATTAACAAGCTTGAGGAGCTTTGGAAAGACAATATTGAGGCAACTTTTCAGGTGAGCGCCAAATGCACAATCGTAAGATTTTCTACCGTATAGGCATCTCATCGGGTGTGATCTATCTTTGTCATATCATTTAAATTTCTCATTTGGGTATGTGTATATGTGTCGCATAACAATTCTTTATATTGATTCCATAAAGATTATTACACCGATAAGTATCGATATACATTAATTTGCTAATTCTATAATTTCTACTAGATGACTAGTTTTTTTTTTCTATTACAAAAATACCAATACCACCCGAATATATGAATATATTTAGCCTTGATTCATAACGTCTTGGTATTTTTTTTTTTAATAATTTGCTAATGGCTAAGTATCGATATACTCTTAATGTCATTATGTGAGTTTGCTGGATTAATTTTTGGTATTTTACCCATTTGATATCGATATATGCAATACAATACAATACGATATAATTGCAGGATTTGGAAAAGCCCGGAATTGACTCGGAGCCGGCTCATGTTCTGCTGCGCTATGAGGATGGCTATCAATACGAGAAAACCTTTGGGCCATTGGTTCGTCTTGAAGCTGACTATGACAAGAAGTTGAAGGAGTCTGCTACACAGGAGAATATCGAGGTGCGCTGGGATGTGGGCTTGAACAAGAAGACCATCGCTTATTTTACGCTTGCCAAAACCGATTCGGACATGAAGCTCATGCATGGCGATGAGTTGCGTCTACGCTACGTGGGAGAGCCATATAATCCGTGGAGCGAGATTGGTCATGTCATTAAGGTGCCTGATAACTTTGGCGACGATGTCGGCTTGGAGCTTAAGTGCTCCTCGAATGCCCCGGTCAAGTGCACCAGTAACTTTAGTGTGGACTTCATCTGGAAGTGCACATCATTCGATCGCATGACTCGGGCTCTACGAAACTTTGCCGTGGATCGCAATTCGGTGTCGAATTACATATACTCTCGCCTGCTGGGCCATGGACGTGCCGATGGCAGTGATGAGGTCCTATTTCGTGGGCCACAGCCCAAGCTGTACAGTGCTCCCCACTTGCCGGACCTCAATCGTTCACAGGTGTATGCCGTGAAGCACGCCTTGCAACGCCCACTCAGTCTTATCCAAGGACCGCCGGGTACGGGCAAAACGGTCACCTCGGCCACCATCGTCTATCAGCTGGTGAAGCAACACGGCGGCACAGTTCTTGTTTGCGCGCCCAGCAACACTGCTGTCGACCAACTGACTGAGAAGATCCATCGTACCAACCTGAAGGTGGTGCGCGTCTGTGCCAAGAGCCGTGAGGCCATCGACAGTCCGGTCAGCTTTTTAGCACTTCACAATCAAATCCGAAACATGGAAACCAATTCGGAACTGAAGAAGCTGCAACAGCTCAAGGACGAAACCGGCGAGCTGAGCTCGGCCGATGAGAAACGCTATCGCAGCCTGAAACGTGGCGCCGAGAACCAGCTGCTCGAGGCGGCCGATGTCATCTGTTGCACCTGTGTGGGTGCCGGAGATATGCGCCTGTCGCGCATCAAATTCACATCGATACTGATTGACGAGTCCATGCAGTCGACGGAGCCGGAGTGCATGGTGCCCGTTGTGCTGGGCGCAAAGCAATTGATTCTAGTCGGCGATCACTGCCAGCTGGGCCCGGTGGTCATGTGCAAGAAGGCGGCACGCGCCGGTCTCTCCCAGAGTCTGTTCGAGCGCCTGGTGGTGCTGGGCATTCGCCCGTTCCGCTTGGAAGTACAATATCGCATGCATCCGGAGCTGTCACAGTTTCCGTCCAACTTCTTCTATGAGGGCTCGCTGCAGAACGGTGTCTGTGCGGAGGATCGTCGCCTCAAACTGGACTTCCCATGGCCGCAACCGGAACGTCCGATGTTCTTTTTAGTTACACAGGGCCAGGAGGAAATCGCTGGCTCGGGCACATCTTTTCTCAATCGCACCGAAGCGGCCAACGTGGAGAAAATCACAACACGATTCCTCAAGGCGGGCATCAAGCCAGAGCAAATCGGAATCATTACGCCCTATGAGGGACAGCGTGCCTATTTGGTCCAGTATATGCAGTACCAGGGCAGCTTGCACTCGCGCCTTTACCAGGAGATTGAGATAGCCAGTGTGGATGCGTTCCAGGGTCGCGAGAAGGACATCATCATTATGTCCTGCGTGCGTTCGAATGAGCGCCAGGGCATTGGCTTCCTCAACGATCCACGTCGCCTCAATGTGGCCTTAACGCGTGCCAAATACGGCATCATCATCGTGGGCAATCCCAAGGTGTTGGCCAAGCAGCAGCTTTGGAATCATTTGCTCAACTTCTACAAGGATCGCAAGGTGCTAGTCGAGGGCTCATTGAACAATCTGAAGGAGTCGCTCATCCACTTCCAGAAGCCCAAGAAGCTGGTGAACAACATGAACATCGGCGCCCATTTCATGTCCACCATGATGGCCGATGCCAAGGAGGTGCTGGTGCCCGGCTCCATATACGAGCGCACCAGCGGCTACGGCCGCCAGATGTCCGGCAACTCCAATCAGAATCTGAATGGCGGACATTATGCTGCCAATACTTATGGGTCTGTTGGCGGCGCGATTGGCGCCGCTGGTGCTGCCGGTGGCAACATGTCGAATGCCTCCTATGGCGCCGGCAACGGGTCCGCTGGCGGCAACAACAACTATGGCACTGCTGGTGGCGTCGGAATCGGCGGCGGCTCTGGCAACGCATCCAATTGGCCAACTGCCCACTTGCATGACTCGATTGGGTACATATCGAATGATCACGGGGTTGCCGCCCTGGGCAACATGCCTGTGCCGGTGGGCATGTTCATGAACATGAGCAGCCTGCCACCGCGGTTCTACAACCACCATCAGCAGGCGATCATGGCGGCCAAGCAGAACCGCGCCATGCAGAACCAGTCCGGTTTTGCAGCTCCGCCAGTCACTGGCAAGAAGAACAGCAAATTGTCTAAAGGATCGCGCAACAGCAATGCAAACTCGATCCACTCTGGAGCTGGTGCTGGTGGAGGCGGTGCAGCGACCTTAATGTCGACGACAACCACTCTGACAACAACAACCACAGCAATCACGTCGGTCACATCATCGATGGGATCGACACCATTCAGTCAACAGCCGTCGGCTCTGTCGCTGCAGATGACACAGCCGAGCGGATTCGCCTTGTCACAGCAGCCGGAGCTGTCGCAGGACTTTGGCCAGATTTCGCAAATG